CTGACCTGACCTAACAACCTAACCCTAACCAAAACTAATCACATCTAACCTCACCAAACCTAACCTAACCTCAATGTCACTTAAACCAGTTAGGTTAAACTTAGCTACAATAACACCATATCGTTTATCCCCTCAATATAATATAACTTTAAGGATATATAACCTTAACCTAACCTGACCTGACCTGACCTAACCTAACCTAACCTAACCTAACCTAACCAAAACTAATCACATCTAACCTCACCAAACCTAACCTAACTTCAATGTCACTTAAACTAGTTAGGTTAAACTTAGCTACAATAACACCATATCGTTTATCCCCTCAATATAATATAACTTTAAGGATATATAACCTTAACCTAACCTGACCTGACCTAACCTAACCTTACTTGTTCAACTCATCTCTCATCAAAAAAAACCGATTCATTACCAGTCAAACAATTCAAAATGAAATGAGATTAGATGTAATAATAATAATAATAATAATAATAATAATAATAATAATAATAATAATAATAATAATAATAATAATAATAATAATAATAACAATAATAATAATAATAATAATAATAATAATAATAATAATAATAATAATAATAATAATATAGTAATATAATAATATAATAATTCAAAATAATACCGGCAATAATAAGAATAAGAAGAAATATATACTGTAATTGTTTTCGTCTGGTTAAGGTGAATCATATCCTAAAAAGGTTTCATAATTCATAGTTCAAATTATAAACACTTAATTTTTTTCTTCGTATTTTGTTATAATTAAGAAAAAACTAATGTGGGTTCTTAATCTAATTTGGGTTGGGTTTTTTCCTATACGATAACCTAGTGTCGTTGGTGTATTTCTGTGCCTGACCACTACTGAACTGAACACTATTGAACACCACTGAACACCAGAACACTACTGAACACTCCTGAACACTATTGAACACTATTGAACACCACTGAACACCAGAACACTACTGAACACTCCTGACCACCTGAACACCTGAACACTACTGAACACCTGAACACTACTGAACACCTGAACACCACTGAACACTACTGAACACTATTGAACACAGATTACCCTCCTTCCCCACGAGGTAAAATATTATCAGATAGAAAGCAAAAGCCGTGAAACAATCTAATCATGATAAAATCTTTCCACTGTGAGCGTTGCAATAATTGAGATGGAAAAGTCAAATTTAATACCTGGCTTAAAACACCTGTGGGTGAAGCTTATGCTGAGTTATAAAGTACAGGTATTGGTGGTTTAAAATCACCTGTTACGTAATTACCCAACAGCCTGGAATAACTGCACATCAACAACTAATGCTATGGTTTATAATACTGTAAGTTAATATCCATGATATTTACCTTGTTTGTGTAGTGAATAACTATAAATAACCACCATTAGTACTTACCTTTAATAATGTGTTTATGCTGTATACTCTTGACATTTTAATCCAGTCAACTTCCTTCGTCCCTTTTCAGTTTATTTCTCCTATCCATCTTGTTTATTTCACTGTCTATAATAACTCTTGAACTTTATCTTGAATGCCTGGGTACAAAAGAGGATATCACTGACATATTTTGACAGGAATTTGGAGAAAAACACAAGGCTGTGGTGGCGTGCGAGGTTCACGGCGACCGGACTGTCCTATAATGTCCGCCTTAGTGATGGTCACCGTTTGTCACGTGGAGTTCTATACAGCATTGTTAACATTACTATTAATAATGATGATAATAATAATAATAAGAGTAACGATAATAATAAAAATAGTAACAATATGAAATCAAAACTATTTTAAAAGTATTTATATATATCTCATAAAAATAGATTAAACACTGGAATCATCTCAGGTGTGTAGGAGAAAGGTCTCTATTCCTGGTAATGTCATCATGAGAAATATTATCAGCTTAATAAGGGATTTACCCCAGTCTAATCACAGTGGGGAGGACTGAAGACCGCGGGAGGGGAATGTAGATTTTTCTTTTTACTATTTTCAGGATTTTTTCTATGATGTGGGAAGAGTAAAAAGGTGTGATAAGTGAGTGAAGAGGGGACGAGAATTGGGGAAGAGAGAGAGAGAAAGTAGACGAGGGATAAAATATGAGAGGAAGGGAGGAAATATAAACTAGGGATAGAAAAGGGAAAGAAAGATGAAGAGAGTGAGAGTAAAAGAAAGCAAGAAGAAAGGATACAAAGTTTTATTCGGCACTGTATGTTGTTCCTCCTGATGGTGTGATGTTCCTCCTGGTGGTGTGATGTTCCTCCTGGTGGTGTGATGTTCCTCCTGACGGTGTGATGTTCCTCCTGGTGGTGTGATGTTCCTCCTGGTGGTGTGATGTTCCTCCTGACGGTGTGATGTTCCTCCTGGTGGTGTGATGTTCCTCCTGACGGTGTGATGTTCCTCCTGGTGGTGTGATGTTCCTCCTGACGGTGTGATGTTCCTTCTGACAGCTTGATATTCCTCCTGACAGCGTGATGTTCCTCCTGACGGTGTGATATTCCTCCTGACGGCGTGATGTGTCTCCCGTTGGTGTGAAACCTTTACCCCCACCCATATCTCCCGAAGGAGTGGTGCCTCTCCTGGTGGTAAGCTCCGAGACATACAGAAGGAGGGAGGGAGAGACCGGGTCCTCCTGATCAAAGGGGCGACAGATTAATGGTGTTAGGGCGATGGTCGAGCTCTACGGTTGATTGCGTCCAGAATATCCCTTCCTCCTCCTCTTCCTCACCATAATCCTTCTCCTCTTCTTCTTCTTCCTTCTCCTCTTCCTCAACGTCCTCCTCCTTCTCTTCCTCAACGTCATCTTCTTACTTCTTCTACTCTTCCTTACTGCCCTCCTTCTCCCCCCCTCCTCATTGTTGTTTTTGTCTTCTTCCTTCTTCTCTTCCATTCTCCTTCTTTCTTTCCCACCAGTCAACTCCTTTCCTCTTCCTCCTTCTACTCCATATGCTCCCTCCTCTCCTTCTTTCTTTTCCACTCTACTTCTTCCACCTTGATTCTTTCATTTCTCCCCTTCTCCTTACTCACTCTTCTCCCCCTCCCCTCCCCTCCCCTCCCCTTTATCCCCAATCCATCCCTTCTTTCCTCCACCTCCTCTTCTCTTTCCTTCCTCTTACTCCCTCCCTTCTGCTCCTCTTCCCACCACCTCATTCTTCTCCTTCAGTATTTATCAGTTACCACAGGTTATCTCAGTTATTGTTATCAGTTATAGGTTATTGTAGTTATCATTTGTTATAGGTAATCTCAGTTACTATTATCTGTTATTACATGTTATCTCAGTTGTTATTGGTTGTTATCAGATATAAGTTATCTCAGTTATCATTTGTTATCACTCATTATAGGTTGAGTGATTCATCATTCAAGTGTAAAATGAATAATTATTTTTCATTCCAATTATACACTCTGCCACCTCCCACCATCTCATTTCAGATCGATTTACTCATCATTTATGGCAAAATAACTTAATTGTGTGTTTTCATGCCAATAATATAATGGCAGATTCTAATGATTTGATATTAAACTTTTACTACATTTCCCCGTGTTCTTAAGTTAAAATTTATGCATTACAACACATAATTTCTGTCTCTTTACTAACTATCATAAACTTACTCCTAATTTACAGCATTTATAAATATTGTTTCATCTATTAACTCATCACTAACTCAAATTAATTATATATCTGAAAAAACTACACCAATTATATATCTCACGAGCGTTCTGGGCATGAGACACACACTACCCCATACTTGAAAAAATAAAATAAAATACACAGTCCACGAGTCTTCCAGGTATTATGTATCGTAAATTTACCAACCACAATAAGGATAAGACTCTGAGCCGTATGGAAGGCCGTTAGTGGTTGGAATTCGTTGAAAGGTTTCTATTAGTGTGATTGGTTTGACCTACAGCAGTCATATATGGGATAACCATTCTAGCCTGTAACATCCCATCAATATTGTTATTCATAAATACAGGTATGTCGTAATCTGAACTTCACTTAACTGTACAGTACAGGTACTGTTAAATTAAGTTCTTATACAGGTACAGTAATATGTCCGTTAGCTGGAATCCCTCAAACCAGGAACTCTCCGATAGCCGGAATTAAAATTTTCTGAGGGGCACATTTTCTGGAAAATTCTGAGAAAAATTTCCCTATACCCGGGAAATTCCGGGGATGGGTTTTTTCCGATTTTGAGAGATGGAAATCAAGCGCATTTTCTAGAAATTACAAGAAAAAATTTCCATTACCTGGAAATTTCCAAGGATGAGGGATTTTTTTCCCGGCTTTGAGAAAGCCGTCTCGTTATCCGGAAATCTCTCATTCCAGAAAGTGCTCTGCACCAATTGTTCCGGCTAATGGAGACATCACTGTCCTTGTATTGTGTTAAGCTCCCATCACTTTACTGTGCTATTTACTTCATATAACTGTACTGTGCAATTAAGGTGATCATCAAAGGTGTTCTGGCCATAAGAGGGATAATCTACTCCATGCCTGAAAAAACTAAACACACACAGTACACGAGTGACCATAATGATTTCTGGATAATTTCTGATCCATTAGTCTGACACACAATTAATTTGCATATGTTGACAAATCTTTTTCTTGCTTTTCTTTCCATAAACTGTCAGTAGCCTTCCTATTCAACATCAACCATCATTTGAGACTGACTGGACAAACACTTTGGTCTTCATTATTCAACACTGTCCTTCATCCTAGTTAAATACATTCAAATAGGTAATACAGTATTCATGTTAACAGCATTCAAACATAGAGTAATTATAACTTACAATATTAAGCTCAAGTGCATAATGAATAATGATTAACTACATTCACATAAATAGTATTGTACATATGATAATTGCCAACACTCAAACAAATATTGATTCATAGTTACCTACACTCAGAAAGGTCATGATAGACACACACAATCATGAGACTATTCAATCACCATTAACTACAATCAACTGGTATGGAATGAAACAAAGCCCTAAGAGAAAATAGTGTCCTTTATTTGAAATATTTCACTTTTAACTCAATTTTTCAAAACAACATCCGGATATTGACATCCTACTACAGGTCAATGCTTTCCCCTGAATAAATCTCTCTCTCTCTCTCTCTCTTATCCTGTACAATATCTTACTCTTAAGCTCATTATTAACACTAAATAACACCCAGATTTAGTATGTTACTGAAGCTGCATATTGCGTACGAAGCAACATCGTCTTAGTATAATCCTGTCGCTTTAGGCAGAAATGGAGACCAGCTGAAATTAAAATAAAAGAAATAATATATATATATATATATATATATATATATATATATATATATATATATATATATATATATATATATATATATATATAGCAGAGATGCATCTAAAGCTGAACATTGCTTAATAACAGTATTAATATCTCAAAAAATCTCTTAGGTATTAATAAATATACAGTATTTAGACAGCCATTAGTAGTTAATCTTTATCCTAATTTTGTTATATTTACTGAAATTTTAGCCTCATTAAAGCTCTGAAGGCAATTCAGTATGTAGAGAGAGTAAGTGAATATTATTATTATTTTGTTTTCAAACATTGCATGCAGTGAGTTGATCATTTCACATCATTTCTTCCAGATAAAGTGACTTGATAACAGGCCACACTTTCAGTAAAAACAATGCCATCATGGACTGTGTCTTGGAAACAATGCCTAGATGTATGACATGACATGAGCCTGCACAGTATACAGTAGTTTCCCCTTACATCAACAACCTGTATCAACTTATATAATCATTCTCTATTCCCTCTCAACAATTAATTTGACCTGTAAATTCTTTAGGACTCAATATTCGAACTCCCTCAACCCTTATTGAAGTAGAGAGAACCAAAAATAATGGTAATAATAACAATGGAAGGCAAAGGTGAGGGAGGAGAAGGAATTAACGAGACAGGAATTACACACTATAAACATAAACCATTACCAATGTTCAGTACCAACCAACCAATGCAATGATTTAGTGTGGGGGGAAAAAATTAAAATCCTAATTGACAAACTTCACCAGCAATAATGGTATACACAACAATACTTTAAGGTAGAGAAAAAGTTTAAATAATTCACAATCTCTGATAGCCAAGTGGAATATAAAACACTCTATGTGGAAAAAATAATAATTTCCAAACTTTGATAGCAAAATGGAATACAATATAATGCAGTGTTTTAAAAGTGGAAATAATAATAGTGATAATAATAATAATTTACAAACTCATATAGCATTATGGTAATGAACATGTAGGAAATAAAAGATGACAGTAATAGGAGTTACAAACATGAAGAAATACATTACAGTGATTTTTATTATTTTTATTAATATTTTATTATCATTACAGTGATAATAAAAATCACTGAATCACCGTAGGCATGGTGGTGAAAGGCAGGAGTTCAGCTTTATGTTAGAGGGAGAATAATTCAATTTTGATGTAAATACTCCTTCAAGGCTCCTCCGATAACTCACGGCACAATCAAAATTAAGTCGTGAAATACAGACTACATTACTGGAGGCTCATAGGAAGAAAAATTCCATATAAAATCATGTCATTTTGTTATAATTAACAAAAAAAATCCATGTCGTTTTACTAAATTTAGCAAAAAAACCCTGGTCACTTTGTTATACTTAGCACAAAAACCCATGGCATTTTCTAAATTTAGCCCAAACCCTGTCACTTTGCTAAACCTAGCAGAAAGATGAACAAGACTAAAATAGCACTCTAACACCCACAACCTAACTATATCTTTTACTAACACAACACAGAACCTTGAAGAAGTATTTCATAAACATTATGAAGCAATAACAACTGAGAAGTTAGGTCAAGACTGGGCTTATTCTACAATCAATTTTATATCATTTGATTTAGAATAATCACTTAGCTGCAATCCAGAAGAAAGAAACTGCTTGAATTTGAATACATGTACGTGATATCAACTACAATACGTCGTGACCACTAACAGATGTAGAATAAAGAGAGTCCTGAGGCTCCACACTGAAGCCAGGTGACCCTGATACAACAGTACTGTACCTTCACCTTTACATGTCTCCGCTAAAAGTGATTTATTTATACACAGGTGAAACACTGAGAAAATTTGTCTTATTCTCCATCCCAAGTAAGCCCTGGTGTTGACTCTCATGATCACACTACTACAACGATCTCCTCAGTATCATTTACAAGCCTACGTAAGAAAATATTTACATTACAACTACCTTCTCAATCTGTTTCAAAACCCTGTGTGTTCCTTAGCTTGCTTAAGGAACACTGACAATCAGTCTGATATATTTACTACATTTCAAGAAGTAATTATTTTGCACCAACGCTTTTATTGAAGTACGTACCTTTCAAGGGAGGCATTTTGGAAAGAGTTTATTGCAGCTATAATGGGAAATATTGGTGAGTGATGAATTCCTTCAAAAGCCGTAGATGCAAGACATACATCGGGACACATCATCATCATCACTTGGTATCTTAACAGTCAACAAACAGTGACATTTACGAGTAAGTTCTTGATATCATTTCTTGTCTTTTCAGTCACTAATAATAAACTGCACCGGAAATACTGATGAAGGAACAAGCATCTGTACATTAATATGCTATGACAGTAAAAAACATTTACCTTATTCTGATACATCTATGAAATATTAAGCTTTTATAGATAAAGAAATAAAAAAAAAGACCAATTATGAGACATGTTTACAGAAGGAGAGTAGCACGCTAAACTGACTTGCTCTTGTTAACAGTGCACCGTACCCCTCTCGTACCTCCCTCGCTAATGGTAACTCGTCTTTACTACCAACAAGTTTTTTTAGTCAACTAGTTAAGTGAGGCCAAAACACTACAGTCACGCGGACACGTTGTCAATCTTTACGACAACGCCCAATGACTAAACTGGACTTGTATCAATATAATAATTCTTATGGTCCTGCATTAACCTTAAAACTTGCTATACAGTATTCCATATTACAAGTCTTTAAGTGGAAAATGCTTATGGAAGCGCCCGTCACAAGGTTATACTATAGCTAGTTACCTCTGTTATCCGTGCCTGGCTAAGCATGTAATGCTGATATACCATAATAAAACTTGATGTGTTTAGTAAAAAAACAAAAATATAATTTTACATTCTGAAATATATATTTTCAAGAAATCTGAGAAAGTTCAAATAATATTTAGTGATTCAAAATTAAACTGAATGACTCTGAGGAGGGAAGACCCACCTGCTCTACAAGTATGCATGATAATTTTTGCAAAGTCTAGTATACAGTACACTGCAAGTCTACAACACCAAGATAAAATAAGTGAGAAAATGTGATATCAGATGTCAAGTGATTGTCTCCATAGATATAGATTTGTTACACTCAGCACACAGTAGCCACACACAGTACCACACACATCTCGTAACCTCTGGATATAATCTACGTGTGCCAAAACTACTCGACTTGAGGTTAAGAACATAGACGGGAGAATGGTGGTGCTCAGGAACACATGTACACCTATACTAAGAGCCAGTGGAACCATCTCAAAAGGGTAGTTAGTCTGCATCTACTATGTCACGGAGATTAGAAACTGGAGTTTACTCACAAATACATCTCCTCAAGAATCGACGGTTAAACCAAGAGGCGGCAAACTCGTATGCAATTAGAGCAAAGGTGCAAACTACATGCAGGTTACCAAAGGGGTTAATGAGTCCCATAAACCACACCTGTCTTCCTAGCATCCAGTACAAGTATTAACGGCTCTAAGAAACCAAATACTGCTCCTGCACCGACTCATGTGGTACCAAGGTATCGGTAAGCACAATGTAGAACCATATGACTTTGTACAGACAGCAGCTAATTCCTCAACCTCCTTACAACTACACAAGAAACTCTTAAGAAGGAAGTTGATACAGAACTCTATTTACCCCCTGGGACACCAGCTAATATGCACAACCAACATAGAAGTGCTCTCCACTACACTGCTGTGTGCTGTGCAACACTGTGGGTAAGCATTTGTCCCACAAGATCTTCATATACGACATTCTGTGGGTAAGCATTTGTCCCACAAGATCTGTACGTTAACACATATATACGACATTGTACACCAACATTCACACTGTCATGCATATAGCAATTTATGTATCTTGCTGCTTAACATGAAGACATTTTCTATAACTGTACTGTAAAGCATAACAAACTCATTTCTATACTTCTTATCTTTCAACTTAATAAAATATTGATAATCTATAGTGCTTATAAAAGTGAATAACGTGCAACATTATTACAAACCTAAATATTCTACTATTTACAATTAAGCTGTACAAGAAGAGTGTACCGTCCTGGTGAGCTGCATCAAGAGAGGCATCTGGCATCTTCCTCTCACAACATGGAACACTTAGGTGTGCCGCAGGACACTCGGGGGTGGCCGTCTTCCGCTCAAACACTTCAAAAGGCAGGAAATGGCTGGACTACTTGATCAAAAGTACACTATGGAATCAAAGCACAAGCCACCAGTGATTAAGCTGAACATCGATATGCCTTTATATACTTTTTCTGTCTCTTAAACAAGCAATTCATCGCCCTTGACTGGAGAACAGCAGGTCGATATGGGTCAACTTTTTCATTAGTAGGTCGATACGGGTCAACATTTTTTGAGTCCTTTTTCAAACTAATAATCCCGTTCATTTTACCGGTAACAACAGTAACAAAACAAAAACAAATTGCCTTAAATTTTCTTCATATATAACATCAACAATGTAAATTCACAGAGTCCATCCCTGTAATGGCAAGTTGCATCACCACATCGCCCTAATGACATCATGAAACAGCCCATCATACTAGTGGCGACCTGTAACACCATCCTGGACTCTACTGTACAGTGTGGGAGAAAATATAAACACATTCAGACAAATGGAATTATAAAAATATAATATAGGTCAGAAGGGAAGAAAGATTAAAACAAATATAATTCCATTCAAAGAGAAAATAATAAATAATATAATTCTGGTTCTGATATATGAAAAAAAAAATCTAGTACAAAAATAATTAAAGTGGGCAAAATTGGCAAAATTATCTCTTTTCTAGCCAGGTCAGTTCATTGTTACAGTAGTTGGTTGCTGTGCAGTTAATGAAAGTAAAAGGAGGTGATTTTTTTCAAACCAATGTTCTAGATACGGCCGAGCTCAATATGGGAAATGTCTTAGGTTCGGACTGAATGAAGCAAAAGGCAAAAAGATTTTGAGACTGATGTGTGCTAAAAGACAGCCAGACAGACACACACACATACACACACTTGCACGGATGCATGCACGCGCACACGTTTTCTTTAAGGAAGGCAGAGTAGCACATAAAGCAATTCTTCCTTTAATATCAAATTACAGAAAATATTTTTCGCAGAGAAAGACTGAGAAGTCTTCACAGCACAGAAGTACAATAGCCAGACTAATGTATTTTATGAACACAGTCACTGTAGCAAAGGATTTATTATATGAAAGATAAAACTGAGAGAGAGTACTGTTACAAACACACAAGAAACTTTTCAATTTCAGCACAGTAGTGGATGGGTGTCAGAATATCACTACCGTTCACACACATACTGTACTGTATTTGTGTTTTTGTATGTTGTTGTATACTGTACATATAAAATCCAAATTACGAGCTTCTCAAAATTCTAAAGGTGTATTAATTGAATTACTCATTTGATACAGAAACTGAATACCTCTTGTTCATTATTTCACAACACAACCAAAACAATAATCAGAATGGAAGGAACATCTACTGTACTGCATGTCACAAGTTAACCCTTACAGCCATTTTGCATAAATTCATTGTGCTTATCCTTAGCACATAAAAATCCTTACCTCAGAGTTCTTTAGTCAGAGTTCTGCTCATTTACTTAATAACATCAACCTTTCATATGAACCATATACGCTAACAAAAAAGTGAATAATGAAAAATATGTGCCTAAGTTCTAACACTAATTCATCTATCAACAACCTATCCACCTCTAACTAGTGAACCACTGTGCATGTGCATCACTGACCGGCAAACATGACTTGGGTAAACAAACACCTGACATTGGTTCTTCATGCTTTGGGCTACCATACAGACTCTAGTGTTTACTGTTCTCCCTGAATAAAGGCCAGAGTCATCACAAACACATCTCAATACTTTCGAAAAAATCTGGAAAAATTGATGAATGCAACGGCATGACCCAACAAGCAGCCAATCAGAGTAACTGAGTTATGGGCAGACAAGAGTGGGTGATGCTTAATCAATGGATTAATACCTATGATTGTACACGAGCTTCAACCTTCCATACGCTGATCTGAAAACCACTCTCAGTTACTATGCTCTTCACACCCTTACCACTGTTGTCTACATATAATCCCAACCTTCAATGCATCAACATTAACAAAAGATAAGATTATTTCAGTCCCTCTGCATATACACCAACAATAACTGAATTATTTCAGCCCCATGTGTTTGGCATTAATAAAAGTTACTTAATATCAGCCCCACATTACTAAAAGATGCACTTATTCATCCTCTATATTTTAGACATTAAGAAGAGATACTCCATTTTAGACCCTCTCATGGACACTAACAAGCACTGCAGTATTTCAGACTTTCAATACTGTGAGAGATTCATATAGTCACTCTGTATCTCTTCCAGTTTTATGGTAAAAACATAAAAAAGAAACATGGAAGAAAAAGCCTTACAATGAACAGGTACACCAAATATATATATATATATATTTTAATTCTTAAGAAAAACTTGGGATGCAATTATACCGAAAGAGGTAAACACAGTACCCCCCCCCCCCACAGTACTAAAACACAAGGTCTGTAAGATAATTTTTGCTGTACTTTACCATATTGTTTCTTAGAGCATCTCTTCAAACAAAGTCTAAGCCACATACACCACGAAGTGATTTTCCGATTTAAGTACAGTACCACATACTGTCTTTCATCCCCAGTCCAGCAACTGTACATTATGACAGTCTTTGCAACCTTAACTGTACATTACCTTGAGACAGTTAAGGAAGCACTGGTAACAAAAACTGTTTATTATCTGGCACTTTTGGAGTAATAACTTTAAAAATTAGTTATGGGCATCTTATTTCTCTTAGGTAACTAGTCTTTGAAAAAATTAAAATCTTACATCTCATTGAATTCCATTATTGAGTCAAAAATGATCAATAACATTATGCACCCTGCAGAATTTCAGCAAGCAATCAACATAATATTATGAATTATGGGAATTTAAGGTGCCACAATAATTAATCTTACCTGTTAGTGATGTACATTACATTGTATTGCATATCACAGAGCCTAAACTCTCAGTATTATGGGTATCTAACACGACCCTATACCAAGGATGTCATTTATACGCTATGTATGTTTATACAAGTTACAGCACCTCACAATTCATAATGGCAGGAAGCTTTGGATTTATGTATAAAATATGTTACATTATGACAGTGATATAAAAAAAATATAAGGATTTACTCCCAACTATAAAAAATAATAAGGAATTAGCGCTAACTTTATATGACAAAATAATTTCACTTAAAAAAAAAACTGTACCCCAAAATGAACTACCCACCATGTTATTATACACAATATGGAGGCAACGGGACATATTAAAGCATGATACACGTACAAAATCAACAGACAGGGTTTAATATGACAAAGTGTACTGTACAGTGTGTTTTAGTACACTAGTTCATCTCCATCATACATCCATCCCAGCACAACCGGGTGAATTCTTAAGAGTGTACATGTGGCAGGAGTAAGACGTGCAATCTATTTATACCGTAATCAAAACAACAGAGAAAAACATTCCTAACATTACATCCTTCTAGCACTCCCCAATACTACCCGGGGGACGTCATTTATTTAGCTAATGCCGGACGCTTTTATTCAGCAGAGAGGTGACTCCATACACAAGTGGTTAAGGTAAGAATCCTTGTCATATTATCGGTTAATAAATATTACCTCACAGGGATCAACACACATTGCAGGTTCTTCCTCTCAAGATGAATGACGGCCAAAAGTTTTCCCTAATCCAAGAACTGGGTTGAGAGATTCTTTAAAATGACAATTGCAAAAGGATAACCGAGATTACTCCTGATTAAACCAAGGCTTCCATAATAACTTCCGATGTTGTGAATGAATTATAACACTCCTTCATTATTATTAAATCTCTCGGCATTAAAGCACCAACCACGATATACGGTATATTAAATTCTATCATATCAATATATCCGGATCACTTGTTATACACTAGAGAACGGATGAGGAATAATGTTAATATAGGAAACACAATTTATGTCTGGAAAATAATTACAACCACCAAACATGCACATAACAAAGCACCCACCATGTACGTGTTATGCTGCTGTACGTTAAATAGACCATACCACAATACTTCACCGAGACCAAATGAAAGAAATTGATTCTAATTCACTTTCTCCACATACCTTCTTATACATGAACCTCTCCCATTAAAAAATAAAAGTTAAACAACTTCCTCTGACCTTCAACAATGTATAAAACAAAAGAATACCCGATAGTTTCTCTTTACCATACGATAAACATATTTACCAGGGAATAAAGACCCGGACATGGATAGGTTACGTCAGGATAAATTACTTTTCCTTGCACATATCTCCATTCACTTTGGAAATATTCACAAATACTGTTGACAACAACTACCCACCTTAAATATTGAATGTCTTGTCACTTACTCAGCTGCCAAAATAATTATTATAATGTTAATTGTCACAATAATATTTAAAGGCATAAATGTAATTACAGTACTGTATATATGCATGTAGAGTAACTATATACTGGTATGTATGTACATATGTTGTACACACAATGTATAGTAGTATACAGTATACATATAAAGTACAGGTACTGTATACTTTTTCAACAAAAAAGTGAAGCTTATTTATCATAATTAATTTACAGATTTATGTAAACCAAAACAAATAGTTATAATGATTATACAATGTACAAAACACTAAATATTACTTGAATTAAAAGGTTCTAGCTACATAATAAGAGTACTACTAGGTGCAGCTTTCATACCATCATGTACTGTATATAATAGAGTAATAAACTAACTCCCGAGGTTCTACCATAGCCACAAAACAAGAGGTTCAGTAATGTATTAATCCAACAGACGGGTTCACTGAAGACTAAGGCATATAAAAATGAACTCTACTGCAAACAGGACAACAAAATCATTCTATATTTATGTTTTCATTCACCAACAACTTATCTCCAACTTTTACAACCAAGATCTTTTATTGTAAAAAATGAACAAAATTCACTAAGCTGTAGGTATTATTAAGCCTTTATCAATAATCATGGCATAGTGACTCATCAGCAATCCCAGTTATATTACTCACTTGCTTAAGAACACACCAAAGTGATATTTCTACACATCTCATCTTGAACCTCATGTCTAAAATGCCCAAAAAACACTTTTTTTTTTTTTCACTTACATCTCACACATTTTGTTTGTTCTCACTTGTCTATACCTACATCATGGTTCCTTCTCCCACATTCATCTAACAACGGTGCTTGTGATACCTGCTAAACAATCATCTATATTAGTTCTATCAGGTAAGTAAATAATCACAACTCACTTGAACTACAAAAGAAGAATTTATGGAAAGGCTAACAACAGCCTCAGCAGGTATAAATTAGCAACAAATTACAATAAAAGATATACTCATGCAGCTTATGTTTCTGAATTGTTAACTTTCAAGACTGCAGTGCAAGTATACTTATTCCTTGGATGTAGAGTCAAATGTCTGTAGTTTATCATCTTGGACAACCTACTGCCCATCTACGTTTGGGATGAAAGAAACACCAGCGACAAAGTTCCCGCCCCAAGAAGAATGCCTGTTTATTAGGGCCTAAACTAGGGATTTTGATATTCAAGGTTAATTACCTAATCAATGGATCAAAACACCCAAGATCCATATATGGGTTTCTTCAGCTTTTCATCTGGAGTGGTCTCTTCCCTCCTACAGTATTTGTGTGTTGAAGGGGTAATATCAATGATCCTTGTTAGTCAGACAATAGAGAGTGAAAGATAGCAGCTCCATCTAGGGGCTATGAATAAGGGGAGTTAATAAAACAGAAATGAGAAACATTAATCTTCAGCTTGGACTAGAAGAAATCTTGCAGGGGCCATCATCTACACTACAGTGAAAATGTAGCCACAGAAAAAAGCTGCCAATGAGGAGAAAGAAAATTTTTCTTAAACCTTGACTTTACTGAGATCAACTCATCTCCTAAATATCCAATCTACTTTATCCACAGCAGCCTATCACCACACCCTCCAGGAACAATGAACCACATCTTCTTAGTAGTCAGGTCGTCTATGTTGTACAAAGTGATGGAGATAAACCAGATGGAAGTCTCGAGGCAGAGTTGTGAAGGGAAACACCACAGGAGAGTACATTTCTTACAGCAGTTAAAGAGAATGATTGACAGCAAATGGAGGGAAAGGTTGTGTTGCTCTTGATTCCTGCCACCTATGTTAGAAAGGTCAGCAAGAGCTTTAAAAAAAATCTCATTAATCAACCAACAAACACATATACTTCTACATTTTCTCTAAGGACTAAATTTTAGCTCTGCAAACTCTACCACCTTTTGTCTTATCCCAGTGGGGGGATCCTGCCCTCAATTACACCATACCCAAAACAGAAGTTCTGTCCTGTGATAAAATACACTGACCTCATCTTCTTCTGGCAGTGATACTAACCACTGCAACTACTGTACCTGCTAAACAAACTCATTAATGTAACAAATGGTTGATTATTGCTTGTAAATCCAACAGTGGATAGTCATTTCTGTGTATTTAGTAAATGAGGATTGTTATACCACCCCTACCCTTTAAAAATTGCTAGAGCCACCCTTATACCCACTCACTATTACAGCGTGCAATTATACATTAGCAGCACCACTCCCTTCCACCAACACGTGGCACCACCCACCCCCTCCCTGCATCATGAGGACCCACACCCTGTCAAGATCATGTGAGAGGTAATATTAAAAATTTATTTAATGACATGATTACTTAGGAGAATTTATTGCTTTATTGTAGTTTTCAAAATGCATAGCTTCCAGATGTAAGTTCTAGATTCCAAACATTATAAGAATCACTGATTGTATGGTGTTACTGTGCCAAATTTCACAGGTCTGAGGAAATATGTGCAACAATATGTTAACAATGCCTCCCCCCCTTCATAATATTTTGTAACACTGGCTCATTTACCTACCCATCACCTCCCCAACATATTAAGCTCTGTAATACAGGTTCAACACACCAAAGTGCATTATATCATATGTAGGACACCTTCCCCTTGACAAACACATAGCAAATACAGCTGTACACCTCCACTTAATGTTTAAATTTTCTGTTCACTTTTCATCAAGATCACTATATCTGAAATATACGAATCTTAGGAGTGTTTTCCCAGGAGTTGAGCATTTAACTCATCTCACATACATTAATCTTTTCTAGTTTATCTTGTTTCATAATGTTCCCTCTGAAATGGTAGGCACAACAGAAAGAAACCTCCAGGCCGCCTTATCACAACACACTTCCCTGGCTGCTATTATCGTCCCCTCCCACACACCAAACAAGAGCAAAGCACGTAATGAGTGAAGAAAAGGTGACATCAGCATTATTATATCCATAGATTCTTGTAATTTTTACTTAAGCGGTTATTCTAAACAATTTGGGTACTTTCATTCTACTTATAAATCTAGAATTCTGTAACTTTCTTTCATTCGACTGTATCTGGACTCCTGATATATTTCTCTAATTTTCACTCTACAGTAACTGTAACTCTAGAATAGTTACTTCTCCTCTACCTGTAACCCTAATATATTTCTGTAATTTTCTCTCAACATATAACTCTAAATTTCTGTAACTTTAACTCGTAACTGTAATCCTAATATATTTCTGTAATTCTAGATTTCAGTAATTTTCACCCTACGGTAGTTATAACTCTATACTTCTATAACTTTCACTCTACTGTACCTGTGACCTAAAATACTGCTGTAACCTTCACCCTACTCACTACAGTATAAGTTTTCTGTAACATTCAGTCTCTCTACAATACTATGACTAACTTTCACACTAACAACAATTATGGAATAGTTATTATTCAAATCAACTACAGTACTGTATTTCAAATTATATCCTTTTTTTTATTATTTTCTTTTTTTCTTGTATATCAAGATAATATATGCAATAATCAATATCATTCAGAAAAAATCCTCAAAATTATGCCTTCCCACAAGAGATAAATACTGTATACTAATTGGGATAATCATCTAAACAAAAATATGCATACAAAATTAAATAGCATAAAAAAGATGTAAAATAAAATCCTGTTTGAAAATAGACGAGAAGAATTTTTATGCCAAATAGCAATCACTTGAAAAATCAAATGATAAATCGCCACAAGTATCCACCGAATGATGCCCGATAACGATACGACTTACGTAATAAAATGACGATTATCAGTGAAAACAGAAAGTAATAAATATCCAGGGTGCGGATATTCAATTCAAATACAGAACTTTTTAAACTAGTAAATAAGAAAAGCAATTTGTCTTTTCGCCGTCGATGGAGAAAGTTCTGTCACTCACGAGAGGACGACGTACAGTAACTTACGGTCCTAAACTAGAGAAGAATTTTTGGCTTGGGGTTCTAATATATGACATAATTATCATTTTTTAAAATCAAGAGCTAACTATTGTAAGATTTAATAATTTTTCTTTTAAGTTTTATTTGTTAGAGATCGTATTATAACGCTGTATAGTACTGTACTGTACTTTTCTCCAGTGTTCATCATTGTTCTTTACACTGAAGTGGTTCTGCTGGTTCTTCATATATACTGGTTCACTATAAAAGGGAGGAATTTTAAGTACCGTATAATCAAAAAAATATTTTTTTTAAATTTGCACCTTGAAAAAAAATTGCCTGTTGTCTATCAACCATTTTGATTTCCAAGCTTAAATAGGACTAAGTATTTCTGAATCTACTTCTATCACACGCGCACAGTTTTTACCACACACAAAGTTTTGTGTCCCATACAGAACCTTCACCGAGTATTTGAGGCTCTCAGGGTAAGAGGAGCAAATCAATCAACTTAGACCTTGACCTAACTGATGTAAAAAAAAAAAAATCAATATAAAGTAAAAGAATAAATAAATTAAAAGTAACAGTCTCAAAGTACATTAAATTTCCTATTATTCATGACAAGTTTCATTCATGTTGTTTGGCGTGTTACAGAGATGCAAGCAAATTTGGTCAATTCGTCCATCTTACCCCCATGAGCTCATTTCTACCCCGGTCACCAACCATCTCTGCTCTTCCTATTATGTCTCCTACAGTGACGCCTCCATGAATTAACAGGACCACCATCTCCGCACTTCCCTTCACATCTCCTCAGGTAGTTCTTCTGCGAGTTACTGGGGCCACTGTCTCCCTACATCCCTACTGTCTCTGTGCTTCCATTTATGTCTTCCAAAGTGGTGTTACCGAAAGTGACCGAGACAAGCAGCGCTACTACTGTCCTTAGATTTTAAAGCATATTACGGCATCAATAAAACCCTTTATCTGCATACTTACTTGTTTTCCATTAAGTTATGTCTTATACAAACCATTCACACCCACAAGAAACATGATAAGTGTACTTAAAGTGCAAAGGCTCTCATTAACTTAAAATACCAGACTTTACCTCAAGATGAGTTAATTATCCCCTAATTATGGCAGTTGTTGATTATAAATGTAAAGAAGGTATTACAATTATCGTAGTGGCGATACAAAATAAGTCAGCCAGTTCCTAGTAACGGTGACTCACCTTCGACCCTGTGATCCAAAAAGCACACATGTGCATCTTTGAGTACTAATGATGTTGCCTACCTAATTTCAAATGATGAACCCTCCAAAAATTGTAAGACTAGCAGCGCTGACAAGTTTTGGGTTAACAGACTCATAAACACACAGATCCACCCACACATGGCATGGGTGAAGACAATACCCCTTGGCCAGTGCTAGCCGAGGGGTAGACAAAAAAAAAGGACTATGTTAATTTTCTCAAACCCCTGAACCAGTAATAATACTTTGCCAAGAATACATCCCCCTTAAAACATAAGGTAGTGTGAGAAAGTGAAGTTTCTAAACACTCCAGAATAACTAACATAACATTATTGCCACACGATCTGGGCTTTTGAGTCAAATAATTATTAAAACAAAAAAATCTAGCCCAAAATAGCAATGAAAGAGCTTTTATATCATGAAGTATGTCTTTTTTTTCATAACTTGTAAGACAGATATGATTAATATTACATACAAGCTCTACATTCAATATAATAATAAAAAGCTAATGCAATATTTCCTTAGCATCACATTGTTTTGATTGTGCACGAAACACCAGAGACCGAGATAATTAGTACCTTGCTTATCACAAATACTGACGAGCGTACCTACGATTAACGTCGAGTCTATCATCACAGAAATTCCTTGGCATTCACAATTTCCTTAGGATTAAAAGGCAGCGTCTTCTTATGATTTTAATATCTCTTGAATACCGGTACACCACAAGCCTTCTTCAATAAGCCTCAAGCAGTGTGATGTACGAGTAACTTTGCCAGTTCCACGTTGACAAAAAAAAAACTAAGGGACTATTAGCGTCGAGCCCAGTACAGCATATTGATAACGTTGATGTTCGTATTAAAATTATTGACGCGTTCAAGGAATCTGAGAATGGTGGACAGTATTACTTGCTTCGTCCACCACTTGAAGACTCTGAAGGAGGTTTATGTCATTTCCTCTTACACCATAACATCCAGGAATGCCTAGTTCACTTACTGCTTCAAGATTTATTACTGTATTATTATTATCCTACATAACTTTCACATCCTGTTTTGTCGAGTGCTGGCAAGAAAAGTCACGGTTAAGTCAAGACGCTCGTCGCAACCCTCTGACACACACGCACAACTCACCACCAGTTCGGGTTTTTCTCTATACCTTGGATCTTTTTTTCTTTTTCCATTTTATTTTTTTTAACCTATGGTACTTTTCATGATTGTTGAATTTTGTAATTTATAGTTATTTTTTCTAACAGTTGGATTTCAAAATTAACAGAGTACCAGGTAATTATATTCCATCCTGCACCAACATGGCTAAATAATGAACCATACTTTCAGTGATCTGCCCCCAAGAGCCATGCAAAGATAACACATTATCCTCTATCTAATCATCTCAACTATTATTTAAAAGGGTAACAGCAAAGCTAGGAGTCCAAAGAGCAAGAAAAGCATTCATCAAAAATACAGGGGTCAATAACTTCCCCAGCTTATGGTTCCTGAGTTGAGCTCTCGACACGAAGAAGACGGGACAGGAAGAGAGAAGAACGGTACGCTAAGTTTACTCTGAACGTCTCCAGTTTGTGTTTACCCTCCAGTCAGTCCGTGGCTGCTCCCAACACCTTTACTGCTCTAACTGTTGATCACCGACTGATCACAACACTCTTGAACATTCATCTTTCCGTCACTTCCATTTGAATGTTGTATTTACCAAACATCTTTACTGTCCGATTTAACATTTGGGGATAACCTAAATGTTGAAATTGGGCAAAACTTGACATTATTCCTTTTCCTTCTGTCTTATTTCTCGATCAATTTCACAAAATTAGTGTATATCATTAATGATAAAAAGGAACAAGGAAATGAGGAGATGGCGCAGATCAGTCGTGTCCTCTCTTAAAACAAGTTACGATAAACTTCTCATCCAATAACTCTTGTCTCACGTTAACGATTCATAAATGTTTCACACAGAATTTCTTGTTTTTCGTCATGGCTGCCAACTCCTGTATTACCTATAATAACATTATGTGATCTTTAACTGGCATTCCAACTTTGTTTATTTGTTGCTGCTCCAGAAGATTTACTTAAATCTACCTGACTCCTCGCTGGCTTTGGTGGTTTTCGGTGGTCAGGTTGGCTAGTTACGTTTGTATCTACCTGGGCGGACGGTCTTCCTTGTGCATGGTGGCTGGGTTTCCCAGCTTTACTTGGGTTCATCTGGCTTGTTGTTGGTTTAGTTTTGGTTAAATGTTCTGGATTAGTAACTTTTTTGGAGTGTAACGGCCCCAATGCTTTTGTTGACATTGGCTGGTCTAGCTTACGTCAGGACGAGAGAGACTGCTGGTGAACCTTGGCCGAGAGGAAGGTGTGGAGGATGAAGACAAATGGCTTAGGGTTGGTTTTCAAGTCCAGTTCCTGAAAGAGTGAGAGAATTTAAATTACTTGAAACTTACTCAAAATTAGCATCACCTATTTTAATATATGATAAATTTTGACGTGAGGCCTTGAATATTTATAGTATCCAAATAATGCCTCCTAGAGCTTTACCCGAGCTCTATTTGTAAGCTGGTAGACTTCATTTATTTCTCTTTCACCATTACACTTTAGACTTTCCTCATTTCATATTGAGGATATTGCTAACACCCAAAAACCTTTTCCATTTCCTTAAGTAAGAAAAATGTATATTTAGAGGTAATATTAACTTACGACTTCCATGTCTCCATCAAACCGAAGCCAAATTAGCCTGGCCCCATCATCAGAGCTCATGAGCAGCTTGTGGAATTGCTGAGTCCACAGGACACGGCCTCTACCACCGGCGGTATCATGTGTGGACAGCAGAGTGAAGCCTTCCTCGTGGTGTAGCACTAACTTGGCCTCCACTCCTCGCCATTCACAATCTACAAAAGAATCAGAGTTCAAACCATGTAAACAATATACCCCAGGAAAATAGAACAAATCTAACAAGGGTAATACAGTACAGTTCTCTAATATATATACACAGTGCAACATGTGTATACAGTACACATTTTGCAGAATTCTTATTATGATACAACCGAATTATTCAAACCATACAATCACTGTACCACAAAATCATGAAAATTCAAAAGGTCTTGTTTGGGTATTCATCAGTAAGAACAGGTGCCAGTTGTGTCCTGTGTGTCATAAAAGGGCTAGGGACCACCATTAATGACACATCACACATGGCAACTTGTTGAAACACTAAACATACCTTAACTGCCTTAAAATTAACAACACTTTATATTTCTGAAACTTACCATAGCATAGTCTCTCAGCCTTTCATTTAGAGAATAAAAAAAACTTATTGCTGAAGGCATTTTTGAGCAAGTAAATTCTAACAGCCCTTGTGATATAGTAAATATATAATGAGAAAGAATTTATCACTCATGGGTCACCTTGATTTACAGTAAGTGTATAAAATAAAATTTCTGATACCCTGTACTACTAGTGGTTAAGATAACATACGGAACTCCTACTGAGTGTATAACTTACAGCAGGCAACTTCCTTCTGTCTCTGAACAGCACTGTGTGCACCCTGTACCAAGACCTTCACCCAGGTGGCCAGGTCACGGTGTGTGTCGTGCTGGAAGACACTCATGGCTACTCCTTCTTGAGTGCCACAACGCATTGTCATTGTAATTGGTTCATTGCCACCCAGTGATCCTTTATGTGTTGAATTTACAATTCTGAAATATATTAAAAACTTTATTCAGTTTTCATCCTGGAACATTTCTGTAAATATACAAAAGTTTGAATGAGAAATTCCCATTTTAAGGCTGAAGGTAAGATGTTAGTGATGTATGAGAGTTTAACCCCCAACAGAATACCCAGATAGAGTTTCCCTTGTCCAGACAACTCACTACACACTCAGGCATGAACATTGTGTTCTTCACAGTTAAGGTCAATACACCATATTATGGCTGAGATTTTGCCCCCACTAACTGGTTCATCTGTGAAGAGTACTTTACGGAGACTTTATACTGATCCCTACAAGAGTGACTCTGCTTCAGAATGCAATCAGTCCCATAAACAAGTCAGCCACTGTGAGAGGGAATCTCTCAAGGTCACTTGTACTATGGACCCATAGGACACAAATGCACAATATAAGAAACCTGTCATGTCGCAATTTCTAACCTCGTTATTTTTTTTTTTTAAATAAAAACTATTTTGTATTCCTAAATGGCATGAAAAAGAAGTGTCTCTTGTCAGCAAACAACAGACCTGGTAGCTAGAAGAGGATAGAACACAAGAGGATTTGCCCAAGCTTCTTTTGTCCACGGCACCTCCTGGAAGAGGATCATGTCATGGTCGGTTACAGCACAAAACTGAGGCTCCCATTCATCTTTACCCTGCAAAGGAAAAAACGTAAATTATTATTTGTAGAATATTGTTCTCAAGTGTTTTAATTTTATGTTTATTATTACTAATACTTGTGGCTTATCAAAGTGGGTTTCCAATATTCTGACACTAAGTATTATAGAAAATTCAGTAGTGGCAGTGTAAAATTTAGTATGAGTGTACTTTTTTGTCCTACAAGTTGTTGATGCAAATGTTTGATACAAACTTTCAACGTCTGATCTTAAAAACAATTTATTATCCAAAATGTATTTCCAAGAATAAGAACTGATACTTGTACAACAAAATTTGCCACCAGTAATGTTTTAAGGAAAATAAAAGGGCTGTCAGTTTGCAGATGAAGTCTTGTGGTCACCTTGGTCGCCTGCTGACAATCAAATTTGAGAAATTATAATGACAGTGGAGGTAAATGTGGGAGAAGCTTCATAAACAAATCACCTGGTACTTACTTGATCCACTTTAAGCTTGAGCCAACCCATGTGGTGTATGGTGGCTTTGTCTAGTACATCTCCGAGCATCTTATTGGCGTGAACAAGAGCAGCTATGGTGAGGCGATCCAAGGAGGAGTGTAGGGCGTTATACCAGCTGGTGAAGTCTGCCTCACACGAGCACTTCATGATGAGGCTGTGCAGGCGGTCAGGAGAGTGTAGCTCAAGTGTGAAGGAATCTATAGTGTAAGAAATAAATAAATACAGTACAGTAAGTAAAAAAATTAAAAAAGGTAAACTAACATACGAGACCTGAGTAAAAAGTAAATCCTTAAGAAAAATACTGTCAAAAGATAAAGGTCAAGATTCGACCTGCTTGAGCACAGAACAATGATAAGAAAAACACAAGATGACAATTTATCATCCTTTATATTACAGTTTGTCGTATGACAGACGAGAGGATGCAGCTCTTGCTTCCTGTCCTAAGGGCTGCTGGTCTGCACCCTTGAAATTCCAAGTCAATGCAGCTGTGAATGGCATCTTAAGTCTACAGTTCGGGAAAAGAAGGTGGTGAGTTCAGTGCCAACCACACCGCCTCCTTGTGTTCTGAAGCTTAAATTTTTGTAAATGTGTACTGTACCTTCACCTAACCTACTGTAACATAATGGGCCGTCAGGTCCATCAAATGCTCTCTAATTATTAAAAAGCAGAATATCATGAAACAAGTACAAATATTGACATTCACTTGAGAAATTATACTTTCCATAAGAAATATATACCAATAAAAAAAAATGAATACATAAGAGTTAAAAACTGAGAGATTAAAGAAAATGTAAAGTTTAGTATCATTCATATTTACAATTTCTTTAAGTTAACCAGTGTCAATGATTTATGTGTTCAGCTCCAAGAGATTAAAAACAACAATGACTCACCTCTCTCCTCACATGCCTCACCCGGTGTTTACTTTCTCAACAATTTCTATAAATGTGGTAAATATATCCTTAGTGAATTACAAAATTTACTTAAAACCTGTATGTGGGAAAAATAAGTTACCAATCATAAGGCACAAAATTACATACCACAAGATAACAATATGAGAATAATACCTAAATATTCCGTTGACCTCATACAATACCTGTAATGAAAACACGTCTTTATATATTTTGTTGACAAATTCAGCTATGTTACTGTATCAGCCAAATCTGATGAACAACTCTTTTGAACCGACTCACTGACTCACCCGCCCTCTCATTCACTCACGCCTGATGACACAGCTTGTATAGACATATTTGGTTGCTCTTGCTCTCACAGGACATACCTTCGCACTTGTAATTTTGCGTCAGGTGGCAGAAGAGGAGCGGCACTGATCTTGTGTCTGGTCCGTTGCTCATGATCGGCGAGCTTCTGTCTTCGTCAGTGGTCAGAAATCCATTTTCAGCACCCAAAAATCCAGACTGGAGCTCCCACCCAATGTCGGCCATTACCGAGGCTTTGCGGAAATAAGGCGTCACTTCCCGCAGATACTTGACTGTAACATAGAAGGAGGGCACCACTAGAGGGAGCCACAGAGACGTCAACAATGCACAACAAACAACGATTCATCGCCCACAGTAATGACAACTCTCATGCAGACCGGAGGGCAAGAGTGCAAATTGTGGTTTATTAAAGAATTTCGTCACCGAGCAAAACCGCCCAAATAGTGAATTAAAAAAAAAATGCATAACAAATGAAGGTTTAAATTAAAAAATGAAATAAGTTCCATAATTGAGAAGAGTTTCCGAGCAGGTCCCCAGTCCAGAGAGGGAGTTCCCACAATCACACAAATCGAAATATCCAGGTTTGGCAGTTTTGTCCAAATTTGATAGATGGGTCAAAGGGTTCCAGGTGTGGTAGTGTCCATGGTTGGTTTGAAGGCCAGGTTTGGTATGGAGTCCCCGGGTGCAGGGTGTGGGGTCACGTAGGGTACGGAAAGCAGGCAGGTGAGATGGGTCGAGCACGGTACATGCAGAAAGACAAACAGAAAACATACATGAGTAAGCAACCAAAATTCAAATCACATCATGGCCCTTATACAGTAAAGAAAATGAACTAAGCTCTTCCATAAAAAATGCTAACAACCCACTGTTGATGGGCGTTGGTGCAAACATAACTAAATCTACAAGCAAAAAACATTCTAAAAGATGCTGTGAACTGACATACAGTACCATACCTGCTACACCTTGTGGATCATGGGATCAATACCATTACTGGGGCAAAAGGCAACAAATACACCAAGAACTAATAATGGACTAATCTACTAATCTTTCATTATCTTATGTAACTCAATGTTTTCTGAATTCCAATCAAACTGTCTATGTATCCTTATGGTCCTGTTAAATCACCCAACTATTGGATACAAGAATAAAAGAAAGAATTAAGTAAATAATTAACATAAACCTGTTAGTGGCATTTCTAGCACAAATCTACAGTATTGCCCCTCCCAATTTGTGTCTGTGTTATCAAATTCCCAATAACCTGTCATTCATTACACACTTTTACAGGTCAAAATCCTCAAGAATTCTCATCAAAACAATGCTCTGATAATTTCTACAGTACTGTGTTAGTGTTTTGTTACTATAATAATACTATACTTGGGTTATTGCTAAATACTCTACTGTAAACATTTGTTATTGCTGTTAAAATAATGTTTGGGTTATTTCTGTATATAATAAAATTAGTTTTTGTTACTAAAATAATGCTTGAGTTATGTCAGTAGAATGAAAAATTAGTTTGAGTTATTGAGTCGTCCGAAGATTAGCCCCAGCTTATTTCACCTTTAAGATTAACCACCATAATGCTAACCTAACCTAACCTAACCACCCGACCAAATGCTATTCCTCCAGGTAGCATTAAAGTGTTTCATCAGTAGGTGAAATATGCAAGGGGGAGCTAATCTTCAGGTGATCCAAATTATTTTTCTAAAACCCACCATCAGCTCTTTTATACCTTGAAAGCTTCCATATACTATACAGTGTTTTCACATCCCACAGAAAGTCAGAACAAGTGTCCCATATGTATATTACCATCCTTCCCAATCAAGGTAATAATTCAACCTCCAATATTCACTGCCTACTGTAACTACAATTAATAGATGGTATTATCAAGTGAGACATGAAGTTAATGTACTTTATTGAATTCTAAAATGAAGATCGAAGCTAAAAAAAAAAAAAAATACAAAATCTCTACAGGTGACATCAGACCCTTGCCATAATCTCAAAGTTGATAGTGGCCAAACACTGGTGAACAAACATGGATGGCGTTCATTATTGCCAGAACGATGGAAAAAGTTATTTATCAGACTTAACCAAAATAATCAAAATATAAAGCTGTATACGAGGTTTTCTTTAGTACACAAGTCTTCCTCAAGTTACTGAAGAAAGGTAAAGAACAATGTGTATGGCTGACTGGACGAGGTTAGCACTACTGTATCTCTCCACGGTCGTTTTCTCAATAAGATGAGATTTAAAGGATCATCCAAGTTCAGAGCATATTAAGACCACGTAGAAGCAATTAATACAATTATTTAATACCATATAAGAACAATGCTAATTTAAAAAATCCTACAAGAACTTTATAAACTATTGTAAGATCACTAGGAGCATGTACGACCTTTTATATTAATGTGAGTTAAAACTGTAGAACAAGAGGTAATACAGTAGTTTCCCCATGAGAAGGACTGATTGATCTATGAACCTTTTCTTTGATCCTGAGACCAGACAGTTTGCAGCTAAGACATTACATTATTAATATAATGTACAAATTTGTGTCAAGTTTACCTTAAATTCCTCCAATGTTCCAATAGTTAAGAAGTGATGGGATGGGTTGGGCACAAAATATGGGATGGACGAAGCGGCAACTGAATGCTTCCTCCAGTACAGGAGGCATTGACCTACAGGTTTAAATATCATGATCCTCAAGAAGTAGCATATACATACAGAAGCCCAAAGCTGACCACCTAAGGTCTTGTAAATATAGCAAGAAGAGGCAACATGCTTATCCCAATTAAAATAACAAGATAACCTACTGTAGAAGACAGGATTCTACATGAAGGAGAATAAAAAATGGATATGCTTGAACCCAGAGTGAAATGATGGATGGTATTACTGTACAGGGTTAAAAAAATCTTTTCCCAGTTGGCAAGGTCTAGCAGAAGTCAATTCCTGGCTGAAGTAAATTTCTTACAGTTATACAGTATCAACAAAAGACTCCAAACTAATGGATTACAACTGTATTCCATTTCTTTGTTTAATATGTCACTGTGTAAAAAATTTATATTGCAGAAACTTGTCTTAACGTATCACAGAAATATATAAAAAAATATTAAGAAATGCTGTTAAACTTATCAATGGGAAGGGATGCCACAGGGCTAGTAGATACTGTATCATCCACTACTGGCTGGGTGGAATAGTGACTCAATTGGGAATTTTTCAAACCCTGAAGTCATGAATGATAACAGGACAGGAACATTCTTTATCCTCATTAAATTATATGAAGAAAGAAGAAGAGACGCTTCATGTCATGCAGTAGTTAAACGGTTTACCCAAACAATAATAAAAAGCAAGATCACAGCACACAAAATAGCAAAATGGATGACCACACTACACAGGAACAGTAAAATATAATACAACACAACACACAATAGCAAAGTGAAACACAACATGTACAACCATCATCATTTTGAAGCCATTTTCCACGCTTGCATGGGTTAGCCTTAATTACCGTAGCTGATGGCAGCTGTTGGGTAAGACCAGAATGGAATGTCCCCTCCCCACCACAAACTCTGAGCACCAGCCCAGAAAATGCAGCAGAGAACAGAGGATGAGCACAGTTCTGGTGACTATGTTGCCACCAGGCAACACAACACACAATATCTAAATGAAACACAACAAACAAAACAACAATAAAGTACAGGGGATAACAAATACTGTACTACATAAAAACAACACAAAATGCCAGAATGATGTAACACAGGAAGATGCTCAATGTCAGGCTAGATAATGTGATAGTGGAACACGGCCTGAGTCAGATCAAATGACGTGATGATATAATCGTCCATGGGAGGCGAGTTAGTGTGATGCAGGATACACTGCCACCACAACACTTTCAATAGTGTAGGTAGGTTCTATACCAGGAGGAAATAGCATGATGCAGCAATGTGCCTGTCACAAGCATGTCTGAAAGGGAGCGAGCAAGACAAAGTAACATGATGCAAACAAGATGACATGACAGGCAATCTGACATTATAAAAGCAAATTAACATGACATAAGGAAGATATCACATTAGCAAATCAACATGATGCAGGCAAGCTGACGTAACACATTCTAAAAATCCTCAAATTAACATACAATACAATACACACCCAACAATAACAATGCACAGGACATTACACATACACTGCATTTAAACCAAGAACACTGAGGTAAATACAAGAACAGGTAAAGCAGATACCTACAGCACATTCTCACGCTGATAACACAAAAAAAGTCCAATGTGAGTAGAATTTATCGATAAAAAAGAGGAACAAGCAGGCATGAAACTACTCTACAATGCATGCTCACAACTTTTCATAAAACTATTTGTATGAGATGTTAAATTCTTACCATCATGCAATATTAACCCCATGCAAGTGTGGTATTTTAGTGCCATAAATACCTTGAACAAGATGCTCTATCAAATCCAGTTACATTGTATTCCCCACATGACCTCTCCTGTGTAATGTCATTCACAGCCTAATGTATCAATTTACAGCACAGTGGTTCATTCAGTCTGTGTCATGAATTACAGCACCATGGGTCATTCACTGCCTCAGTCATGGGATACAGCACCATGGGTCATTCACAGCTTTAGTCATGGGTTACAGCACTATGGGTCATCCACAACCTTGGCCATACATCACCATTGTGACGCACTTCAGCTGCTTCTTCCACGAGATAAACTATCTTCCATGAGGTCAGCATTGTTTACACCACAATCATGAAGTACTGGTAAAGCACGACGTCCATAAAGTATCCGACCTATTTTAAAACATAATAACCTCACTCAGCGCGCGCACGCATACACGCACGCACACATGCACGCACGCACGCATGCACGCACGCACATGCACGCACACACACACGCACATGCATGCACGCGCGCACACACACACACACACACACACACACACACGTTTACTAAGACCCCCAAAAATTAGGAGTTATTCATCGGTTAAGTTTCAAAATGGGTCGGATAATTTATGGAAACCGGTCAAAGTAACAACTAAACTGTCATTATTTCCACATAGAAGAAAATGGTTACAGCATGCATTTCATCTTCAGAGTATGATTTAGAATAAAGGCCAAGTCACTGGATTCCTATTATTGCTCAGTAGATGCCTTGTGCCAAAAATGCCATTAACATGCACCGTAAAGTAAAGACAGTATTTTAATGAGTTTCTATAATACATACACACACACACACACCCTAAAATTACAGTATAAAAAAGAAAACTCTTACTTCTAAAACCTAAATGTCTAAGCACACATTCCCATAAAAAGATAAAGAATAAACAGTACTGTACTTAAACATCTCTAAAAATCAAGTATTGGTCCAATAAATCCCTGTTATAGTCAAGTCAGACCCAGAAGACTTACAAGTGGTTTTATCCATCATGTTTACATGCTGCAGCCTGAGCTAACCCACAACACTGACAGCCACCCATGTCATGTCTTAGCCTTGACCACAACCCACAGCATAGTGGATAAAATCATGAGTTGCCTGGGACAAATGTAATGCCATAAACAACTACAGTACTCTACAATACCTACAGTATTACAGGTGTAAAGGTTTACATACTAAAAATCCCAACAAATATTTAAAATAAACAGCAACACGCTTCAAGTCAATAAAAAGCCTCAATCTACCGTAAGACACAACTAAATACCCAAAATAATAACTGCACACACCTTAAAAGTAACTACTGTACATACCTTAAAATTTACCACAACTGTATAACACACTCCTGTAGCTAAAAAAAACCCAAAACTTTACCTACATGAAAAAATATTAACTACATACATACCTTAAAGAGATTTAGAAATATTCTGAGAACTCAAGGCATTACCTTCAAGTGTGACGACCTTGCCGGCTCTCTTTAGCGCACGCACTGCTTCATCATGGGTGGCCTCCTTTAGGTCCTCCCCATTGACAGAGAGAATGGCATCTCCTACATAAAGGTTCTCGGTCAGGTCAGCTGCCATACCCTACAACATACCAGAGAGAGAGAGAGAGAGAGCAGATTAATCACATGGAGAGTGACTTGTATTCTGGAGAAACAAATGTTAATTTCTGTATATTAATTAGTGTACAAGTGTGTGTCGTGTATTCAGAGCCATACGTTACACATCAAAGGAACAACATGTGTAGGGTTATCTAGAAATTGTAAACACTCACTTCATTATGGCTGAGAGTGACCTGTGAATATAAAACTTGAGCAAGAGATAAATAAGGCTGTTTCTATCCTCCTTCCCAGGGGTGGGTTAGTCCCCAAGAAAACAGCAAAATTAAGAAGAAGAAAAAATAGGTGCAGTTTGGTGCACTCTAGAATGAAAATCTGTACTTTTTCTCTCTTTATTTCTTCTACATTTAAGACTGCAGGTGTAGACAAGAGGCTGAGAAGAAAATGAAATGGATTAGTCTCAGAGATTTTTTTTTTGTTATTGGAGTAGTACAGTACATTGTATATTTACTTTTTAAAGAACAGTTTACAGCAGATTGGAAAGACCTAAGACAGTTAAAGAGTTTCAAGAACTACATATATGTACAAACTAGTAAAGAAACACATCCCAAATATAATTTACAAGCATACACACACATCTGGAAGCACATACCCACAGCCACACTCAAACATATATTACATCTATACACACAGTACAACACACCCATACACCCTCCCTCACGTGTACAGTCCCAGACAAAATTCCTGTTACATGCCTGTTCCGTGCTGTACACAGCCTTAATCACCTACTAAAGCTTATAACCAGAGGGCAGCCAAACTCCAGCATTTCATAGTCTCAGGTGAGTAATGACACTTTTCTCTGTCTGTTTAAGCATGCACAATGAACCATAAGCTTTAATTAAAAATCAATATAAAATATTATCAATGGCATAAAATTAAAACAATATATATTTATATATGTTCCACTTACCTTGAAGATTTTAGAGATGAGGATTGGCATTTTGTTCTCCCTTCCACCTTTGATGGAAATTCCAAGGCCATTATTATCAGACTTGCAAATCTGGACGACTCGTTTTTGACTCGCAATTGGTTCGGGAACATCGCTCGGCCCAGTCTCTCCATCTGAGCCTTGGAGATTACTGAGGTCGTCAAGGTCTGTGAGCGTGACGAAAAGATGGTCGGCCTCGAGGGTGAGGCGGGCCTGGTGCCAAGTGCCTCCAACCCCCCCAACGAGGACCTCCGTGTTACCCACCTTCTCTCCCATAATTATCCAGACGTCACATCACCTTAAATACAAACCACAAAAACATATTAATAAACTAATTAACAAGTTATTAAAAATCACACAGGTAGTAAATAAATGAAGTAAAGTGATGAACCAAATTTAAAAAAGAAAGCCTTAACAAGCTAATAAATCCTTACCTACTGCATACATTAAACTCTTATAAAAGCTTAGTCAATAATCCCCATGAATAACCTATACTAAATGGACACAAATTCTTTATACTGTATTCCTATAGTCAGGGCTCTCAAAATTAACTAGCACTCACTATACTTTTGTCTGCATAAACTTGTCACCAATACTGAAGAATAAGCAGACTCACATTCCCATAGCTCAGTTGCTCTTATGATGTACCATACAGCACCATCTACCTTCTATCAAATACCACTTGAGGTAAAATACAGTAAACCCTCGGGATAACGAACTAACTGGTGGAAAACTATTGTCGCAAAAGCCAAAAATCTATTAAAACCAATAACCCAACAATTATTTTGAACTACACTGTGTAACTGTTGGCAACTTGGAAGACTCCTTTCCGACATCCAGCCAAAACTAACTTGAGACAAACAAAACCAAAAATACTGACCTGATAATCCTAAAATATAAAAAAAGCCAAAATTTACAAGTAGATCCATAACTCTATCACTGAGACAATAAAAAAATATTCTGCCATCAAGTAGCTACAGAAGTTTTGGGGTTGGTGTCGGATAAAGAATGTTTCCTACAATCAATTATCATTCCTATCCAAAGCATCAATATCCATGACCGTATGTCTTAAAACTATTATTATTATTTGACTCAATCATTCTATAATCACAAAAGACAAAACTGGACAATTAAAGTCGAAAGAGAGTCTGACAGTCCAAGTGTTAATGGGGGTTGAGGGGGATACAGTGTACTAACACTGCATATAATTGTAACAACTTGAATTCAGATCTACATTGGGTTAGGTTAAGTTCTCATGCTGTCTATCTGAGCTCTTTCAAAAAGTTTACAATTTGGCTACGAATCTGAGCTGATATTAGCATTGACTTGCTCCTAGCTGGTTGGAGAATATAACAGACAATAACTATCTGAGCTGAACCGTTCTCTACTCTGTCGTGAACTTGTGATTTTCAAACCTAACTTAACCTCTGATTTGGTCATCGTCCCTTAGAGTTGCTCTCATTTCCTGCCTCTTTCACACACACATAACGCACTTTATAATAAACAAGAGTTGGCTCGGTGGAGTGTGCACAAGTTTCCGGGCAGCTCTGATCACATTTCCAAAAAGCTGATACTTTACCAGTTGCCAGAGTCTTAATTATATCTATAACATAAGTAAACTCTGAAAGCACAGTGCCAATATAAGTGTGTGTTTGCCAGTGCTTGTTGTTTTTGATATAACAGCCAATAAGGATGCTTGATGCCACAATATAATAGGTATTTCTCGAGTTTTATCAGTTCAAGCCAATATGTTCATTTGGAAAACAAAATAAATACCAAGAAAAATAACTCAAGTCACTGGGGACAACATATACAGTACCTGGAGGCTTAAGAAAAACTGAACACTGTTTAAATGTCAACACAACACCTGGACAACTACCCCACTGGTAAGGAATACACGTAACAGTTCAGTGTTCAGATCCAATATTAACATTTGCTGTATGGACATGTTGAAACCATAGGTATGTCACAGTTCAGATGGCTCAAGGCTTCAAAGAGCAACTGAATTGAGTAATCCACACCCAACCTAGGTCTAATTTCGAGTCCAATTAAAAGATACAAATCCATTCAATAGTTTAAATGTCTTCTTCCTATACAGACCACGACTATAGCCACTACTACACCAGTTCCCTCCCAACAACTCGGCCCCATCAACCTCATGTGAATTCAGAATTTCAACCACTTCCAACAGATTTAAGTGTTTAGTAAGCTGTGTTCGTCCCAGGGCCAACCATCCGCCCACACCTCGTCATTCTCAAGTAGGGGAGAGACAGTAGAGAGAGAGCAGGGGGTGTATTGGGCCACAAGCACAAGCATCCACTAAACCACTTGATCATTCCTCCATGGCATTTAGGTCAGTGATTTACCTCCACTTCCTCATTACTTACTAGTTATTCTCTATACCCCCCTCAGACCTACTCTCACTCCTGACCTCAGTGTAGCGGCCTCCCCTGCCTCTACACCACTAGGAGGACGTAAATTGATACAACCTTGAGCACTCACTTGGGGTTTGATTCTCAGGCTCAGCAATAACAAAGTTGCGTTCGACATAAGGGGAATTTTTTTTTTAAGTGTTTTCTTCCATATTCAGGGATATTTATCGATTTTGAAGATTTATTATCAATATCTAATCAATCTAAAATAAAAATTAGTTCTAGAAAGTTATAGTTTATAGAATGATTAACAAGTGTCTCATGTTAGCTGTACCTTACACCTCTGAGTTAGACTGTGTTCGAAGGGCTGCGTAGTTGTGCTAAAACACTTTTAATTAACAAAGTAACTTAATTATATTTTTAAACGGTTTACATCAATTTTAACTCTATATTATATAAAATAAATATGATTTTATATTTGATTTATTATATTTATTGAGATCCATATTTAGATAAAACAACTTAAGCCAATGTAGAAGCTTCTGTATACAGCGACACTCCAACACTGAACGAAGGTGTGAGAATAGTATCTATTTGTAGAATTATACTGATGATTAACTCTATTTCAAGAAGAGTTTATTTTTAGAATACTAATATTAATCGTAAAAAGAGCGGAAAGAGTTCAATACTGCTTATGCATCACTGTTGTATTAAAGAGGTGTTCAGGTGTGGACTCGAATGCGGGCGGCTCAAGGGATGAATTATTTACGGTAGTGTGAAATGAGTAGCTGGCCTCTCTCTCTCTCTCATTGTTCACTGGCCTGGGGGAATATTATGCTGCCAGGGGAACTTAGGCCTTATTCAACATACACTGAGTTGATTTGTTACACGTGTTTAGACCACAGGATGTTATTAATCAATTGCAGTCACCCAGAACACAGGTAGATAAATTATGTCATTCACGAAGGTAATTTTTTGTCCGTATTCCTATATTTTTTTTTCACTTGTCACACTGAAGATAAATAAACATACATATAATATTTCCTTGTAATATCCGTGTACTGTAATATATACTAACTATCATTTTATTATTTTTCAGAGGTTATTTAAACACTAGACAGGATTTAGAACTGAATAATTTATATGTTCTGTCTCCACATAATAGTTATTGTTTTCATCAACATTAATTATGAATGACTTGAAGGCGATAATATACACACACATACACCTGTTAACAAGTCATCACAGTTTAATGATCAGGGGAAAATAACACAAAAATAATTACATATTTATGAGACACACTAAAATAATAATAATAATAATAATAATAATTCCCCGTTATATACTACCTACTCACAGCTCACTCCCTCAGTCACAGTCAAGAGAGAGATCACCAATTTTCTAGATGTTTGTGAACTAAAGCCAGTCAAGTGTTATTTAATATAAACGTGTTCTCAGTTCAGCGAGGACACTGTCACTCAACACAGTCTGCAGAGATTTACATAATATTTGGTTTTTTTTTGTGCGTGTCGTAGTTATGGGTGTGAAGAAACAGGTGGGTATAGCAGACTTAGTTAAATTAGTCCTTATTGAACTGCCTTTCCTTATATTCGGTCACTTAATTGAATCAGTTAAATTATCTTTATTTAAGGAGAGAAATATTCACAAACGAATCTTTTAAAATATTCTCACACATGGACAGGCTACACATCTCACGCGTTTTTTTTTTTTCTTCTCTCTGAACTCACTATTCCCAAACGTGTAAGGAGATAAGATAATATATTCACTTTTTACTACTAGAGACTGACGTGAATATCGGCAGCAGCGAATATGTCCTGTGTGATGTGAACTTGTTGTGGGTGGTGGGTGGGCGAGGGAGGTGTAAGACACTAGCTGCCGGGGGTGCGTGGAGGCGTGTAGGTAAGCGACTGAACCCGCGGTCGCTCCCAGGCCTGAAAAATGCACTATATATGCACACCACAGCCGCCGCCGCCAAGGTGCATGGAATAACAAAACACGCGCCTTTCACTCTACACGTCATTGACACAAGAGAAAATAATGGAATTTGATCTTCCAGGCGATGTAAACACGTACTAGGGAACAAGATGACGGACGAACAGGGGTCAGAACTACTCACAAACGAGGTATATCGCGTTAGTGTCGTTTCTGGCGGCACTCTTGAGCAGCGATCTACACCTGTCATATTTTATCGGTGTGGGAAGGACAAAGGGAGGAGGAGGAGTGGTTGTCGCTTCCTCAGCCAGGCGGCACTAAAGGGGCACCACAGTCGCTTCACAAGAGCTAACACCCAACACATAACACCATACTTGGGATTAAATCAAGATTCGCACAACCTTATCTTATCTTACCTGAAGAATAACCTAACCTATCCTAGCATAACCTAACCTAGATTAACTTAGCCTAACCTAGTAATAATCTAATCTAACCATATGAGTAACGTCACAAAAATATTTCGAGTCATGGGTTAATAATATCTATCTATCTATCTCTCTATCTATCGACAATACCTATAAAAATATCTAAAAATATCAATACACAGGTTAATTAGTCTACAGGTCCAATTAGTTGACAGGTGTGAGTTGATTAGCTAACAGGTAACTCTCATGACGTCATTCGTTACTTTATCACTGTCGAGTTCATCGGAGAATTAAGGTAACAGATTAAATTTATCTTGAAATTTCAGCCACAGGATATAAGGTCGAATTAATACTCTTACTGGCAAGGATTTTCAACCTAATTTGTCTTGTGGTTACCTCGTTATTGCTTTCGTGTGGGTTATGAAACACTTAATATTAGTTTTAATGTGTGTGTGTGTGTGTGTGTGTGTGTGTGTGCGTGGTTGTATATGTGCGTGCTTGTGTATATGCATATTTTCATGTGCGCGTATGTATGTATGTATGTTAAGGTGTTAAGCTTTAAGATAACTTAACTATGACACAACGATAACACACTAGTTATCAGTACACTCCGTTATCTTAGCTTATCTCACGAGGGTAATCTAATCAGACACATACCTGCACATACACACACACACACACACACACAGGTATATACAGTTAGTTGTGTACCTGTGCTGTGCTGGGCTGTGTTAGCTATAGAACTGGGCTGTGCTGGGCTGGGCTGTGCTGTGAGGAAAAAGGAGGAGACGTAGAGAATTTCTTCACACTGGGAGGACAATAACCCTTGTCTAGGAGGCCAGACAAGGTGTTGAGCCATAGGAGACTAGTGAAGGAGATCGCCCTAAGGTACTTCACTCGTCATGAATCTGCGACTGCCCAGTGTGGCGATCTTCTGCCTGGCGACGATGTATGTAATTCTTCTGATGTCGCCTATGACCTTCGCTGATGGTGAGTAAAGGAATCTATCTATCAGTTTACACGTAAGTCCTTCACCGCCAACACGAGCATTCATAGAGCTAGGTAACGCAACATCACAGAAAGGTTTCTTGTCACCCCTATTATAAAATAAATTCCTTTGTTGAATTATTTTAACCTTAACATAAACTAAAATAACGTCAATAATTACTATATAGTCTCTAGCAAGTTTCGACGCCATGTTAATCCACTGTTTATTATGCTGAATTTAACATGAACGAGTTAAATTGTTTCTCACGTCTTCAAGTATAGAGAAAAAATTAACTTAAGAGCTTTTGAGAATTTAACATTGTGTCGTAACTTAAGTGAATCAGTTAGTTACGATTTAACGTCTTCAGATAAAGAAAATTTTTCACTTACGAACATTTGAGAGACTTAACACAGTGTCGTAAGTAAAGTGAATCAGTTAGTGACGTAGGAATCTTTGAGTATTGGGATCTTTGGGGCCACATAAGACATGCTACGACAAGTGATCAATTTGTGGGAGGAAGAGAAGCAGTGTCGTAGATAACAGCTTCGAGAACTTATTACTTAGATAACGATAACAAAGGTAGTGTAGTTAAGATAGGCTGTGAGTGTCATGTGTTTTGGGTGTTATATCTGAGAGAGAGAGAGAGAGAGAGAGAGAGTTGAAGCAGAGTGGAATCTAATCTCGTAAAAACAAAAGCTTAATATCTGATTCTATCCACACACACACACACACACACACACACACCTGGTCGCCTTCTTAATATCTGGTGAAATACCTGGCTAGGAAGGAATCCCCGCCGCCTCCCGTGAATGAGAACTATCTTAATATTAGTGTACTCTACGGCTTAACTCTCTCTCTTTACTTTCTGTCTCCTCATTCCCTCCTTTTCTCCTCCTCCTATTTCCTTTATCCACTCCCTCATTTTTGTCTCTCCCTCTCTCTCACTCATTTTCTCCCTTATCCAATTTTCTTATTCTCCCCGAGTCATTATATCACCCCCTCCCCCCCCTCATCATCCCCCCCTTCACTGTGTAACTGGCCAATGAGAGACGTGATAGTCGATGACGTCATGCAATAGGAACCAATGGTATGCTAAACATGTGACAAAAAAATCTTACTATGACGTCATAAACAAAAACAACAGAGAAATACAATACAATAAAGGAGTAGAGATAGTGAAGGAAGGAAGGAAGTAAGGAAAGAAGGAAGGAAGGAAGGAAGGAAAGAAAGGAAGAAAAGAAAGGAAGGAAGGAAGGAAGGAAGGAAGGAAGGAAGGAAAGGAAGGGAAGGAAAGAAAGGACGAAGAAAGGAAAAGGAAGGAAGGAAGGAAGGAAGGAATGAAAGGAAGGAAGGAAGGAAGGAAGGAAAGGAAGGAAGGAAGGAAGGAAGGAAGGAAGGAAGGAAGGAAGGAAGGAAAGGAAGGAAGGAAGGAAAGAAAGGAAGGAAGGAAAGAAAGGAAGGAAGAAAGGAAAGGAAGGAAGGAAGGAAAGGAAGGAAGGAAGGAATAGAGCGTAGGGTGTAGGAGTAAGTACAGACACTACCTAACGAAAGAAGCTCCCTAACAATAAGTGTGTTTACAGAGGGCCTTAGGGGGATAATTTTACCCTCCTCCTTCCTTCATTTCTTTCCCTTAATGAGAATCACGTGTGGTAGGAAGTAACAACCCACAAACAAAGTGCTGGTGAGAGTTTAGCCCTTATATCACTTGTACGTAAGGGTCGTGTTGAGAGGTGTTAGAGGGGTGGTTTGTTTACGTCTGTGTTGAGTTACGCCTTCCTTGAGCCCCCTCCCTCCCTCTCTCCTCCCTCTCTCTCCCTCCTTCCCCTCCCTCTCTCCCCACCTCCCTCCCTCCTTCCCCCTCCCTCCTTCCCTCTCTCCCTCCTTCCCCCCTCCCTCTCTCCCTCCTCCCTCCTTCCCCTCCCTCCTCCTCCTCCTTCCTCCTCCCCTCCCTCCTCCTCTCTCCCTCCTCCCTCCCTCTCTTCCTCCTCCCTCCTCTCTCCTCCCCTCTCCCTCCTCCTCCCCCTCCCTCCTCCTCCTCCTCCTCCTCTTCCTCCCTCTCCCTCCTCCCCTCCCCCCTCCTCCTCCTCCCTCCCTCCTCCCTCCCTCCTCTTCCTTCTTCCTCCTCCTCTCTCTCCTCTCTTCCCTCCCTCCTTCTCCCCTCCCTCCCTTCTTCCTCCTCCTTTCCCTTCCTCTCCCTCCCTCCCCTCCTCCTCCTTCCCTCCTCCTCCCTTCTTTCCTTCCTTTCCCACCTCTCCCTCTCTCCTGTTTTTACCCGTGTTGGGATTTGGAGTGACAAGGGAAGTGGAGGGGAGGGATGGAGGGATAAGGAGGTATGGAGGGATGAAAAGAGGGAATAGAAGGAGAGGTGACGGAGGAGAGGCAAACGAAGGGAAAGAAGGAAGGAAGGAAGAGAAAGAGGGGTGAGGGAAGGAAGGAGGAAGGACAGAAGGAAGGAAGAGAAAAGAGGTGAGGAAGGAAGGAAGGAAGGAAGGAAGGAAGGAAGGAAGGAAGACAGAAGGAAAGAAGGAAGGAAGGAAGGACAGAAGGAAGGAAGGAAGGAAGGACAGAAGGGAAGGAAGGAAAGGAAGGAAGGAGGGAAGGAAGGAAGGACAGAAGGAGGGAAGGAAGGAAGGACAGAAGGGAAGGAAGGAAGGACAGAAGGAGGAAGGAAGGAAGGACAGAAGGGAAGGAAGGAAAAGGAAGGAAGGAAGGAAGGAAATATTCTAACATCTTCTACCAACTCTCTTCACTATACAATGTACAACCTGTGTGTGTGTGTGTGTGTGTGTGTGTGTGTGTGTGTGTGTGTGTGTGTGTGTGTGTGTGTGTGTGTGTGTGTGTGTGTGTGTGTGTGTGTGTGTGTGTGTGTGTGTGTGTGTGTGTGTGTGTGTGTGTGTGTGTGTGTGTGTGTGTGTGTGTGTGTGTGTGTGTGTGTGTGTGTTACAGTCACTCTCAGTAATGGTTGGGAAGGAGTCAGTCAATCAGAGGGAGAGAGAGAGAGAGAGAAATTTTAATATTGTTGAATAATATACTGAAAGAGATGTATCTAGGTTAGGTTTGGTTAAGGTTAGGGGTGTGTTTGGTTAGGTTAGGTTAGGTTAGGTTATGTGTTTGTTAGGTTAGGGGTGTGTTTTGGTTAGGTTAGGTTAGGTTATGTTTGGTTAGGTTAGTTAGGTTAGGTTATGTTTTGGTTAGGTTAGTGTTTGGTTAGGTTAGGTTATATTTGGTTAGGTTAGGTGTTTGGTTAGGTTAGGTTTGGTTAGGTTAGGTGTTTAATTTTAGATAACACGTTAGTTCGATGATTAGGTTAGGTTAAGTTAAGTTAGGTTAGGTTAGGATTGGCTATATCTAATCTAAACTAATTGATTGTATGCAAATCTAATCTAACCTAATTATTAGCAATCCTGTTAAAATATATCACATATCTTAGTCTAACCTAACCTAACCTAACCTAACCTAACATAACCTAACCAAACATAACCTAACCTAACATAACCTAACCTAACATCAATCCTCACCAACACCTGTTCTCACCTCATCAACACCTGTTCTCACCTCATCAACACCTGTTGTCACCTCATCAACACATGTTCTCACCTCATCAACACCTGTTCTCACCTCATTAACACCTGTTCTCACCTCATCAACACCTGTTCTCACCTCATCAACACCTGTTCATCAACACCTGTTCTCACCTCATCAACACCTGTTCTCACCTCATCAACACCTGTTGTCACCCCATCAACACCTGTTGTCATCTCATCAACACCTGTTCTCACCTCATTAACACCTGTTCTCACCTCATCAACACCTGTTCACCTCATCAACACCTGTTCTCACCTCATTAACACCTGTTCTCACCTCATCAACACCTGTTCTCACCTCATCAACACCTGTTCTCACCCCATCAACACCTGTTCTCACCTCATCAACTCCTGTTCTCACCTCATCAACACCTGTTCTCACCCCATTAACACCTGTTCTCACCTCATCAACACCTGTTCTCACCTCATCAACACCTGTTCTCACCTCATCAACACCTGTTCTCACCTCATTAACACCTGTTCTCACCATCAACACCTGTTGTCACCTCATTAACACCTGTTCTCACCTCATCAACACCTGTTCTCACCCCATCAACACCTGTTCTCACCTCATCAACACCTGTTCTCACCTCATTAACACCTGTTCTCACCCTCATCAACACCTGTTCTCACCTCATCAACACCTGTTCTCACCTCATCAACACCTTTCTCACCCCATTAACACCTGTTCTCACCCCATCAACACCTGTTGTCACCCCATTAACACCTGTTCTCACCCTCATCAACACCTGTTCTCACCTCATCAACACCTGTTCTCACCTCATCAACACCTGTTCTCACCCTCATCAACACCTGTTCTCACCTCATTAACACCTGTTCTCACCTCATCAACACCTGTTCTCACCCTCAACACCTGTTCTCACCTCATTAACCCTGTTCTCACCCCATTAACACCTGTTCTCACCTCATCAACACCTGTTGTCACCTCATAACACCTGTTCTCACCTCATCAACACCTGTTCTCACCCCATCAACACCTGTTCTCACCTCCATCAACACCTGTTCTCACCTCATCAACACCTGTTCTCACCTCATTAACACCTGTTCTCACCTCATCAACACCTGTTCTCACCCATCAACACCTGTTCTCACCTCATTAACCCCTGTTCTCACCTCATTAACACCTGTTCTCACCTCATCAACACCTGTTGTCACCTCATTAACACCTGTCTCACCTCATCAACACCTGTTCTCACCTCATCAACACCTGTTCTCACCTTCATCAACACCAATCCTCACCTCACCAACACCTGTTCTCACCTCATCAACACCTGTTCTCACCTCATCAACACCTGTTGTCACCTCATCAACACATGTTCTCACCTCATCAACACCTGTTCTCACCTCATTAACACCTGTTCTCACCTCATCAACACCTGTTCTCACCTCATCAACACCTGTTCTCACCTCATCAACACCTGTTCTCACCTCATCCCAGCTTCCTGTTCTCACCTCATCAACACCTGTTTCTCACCCCCTCATTAACACCTGTTCTCACCTCTCATCAACACCTGTTCTCACCTCATCAACACCTGTTCTCACCTCATCAACACCTGTTCTCACCTCATCAACACCTGTTCTCACCTCATCAACACCTGTTCTCACCTCATTAACACCTGTTCTCACCTCATCAACACCTGTTCTCGTCTCCCCAACAGTCACAAGACACTGTTATAACTTCACCTGGCCCGGCACCAACACGTCTCTGGACTGTGATGAAAAGAAACTGGACGACAACAATAAACCTATCCCTTGTCTCTACCCTCTGGTGTACACAGGTAAGATAGCTCACTTTACTGTCTCTCTCTAAGTAAAATAGCTCACTTCTCTCTCTCTCTAAGTAATATAGCTCACTTTATTGTCTTTCTAAGTAAGATAGCTCACTTTCCTCTCTCAATCTGTATAAGTCAACTTGATTGTCTTGTTTACAGAAGTCATCCTAATTGTTTATTTTTTCTTACAGTACGATATATGTATGTTGTGTTGTCAAAGTAAGAGAAACAATTGAGACCCTGCAATTGTGTAAATGAGGCAGAAAGTCAGATCAACAACCTGGGACTTGGTCACGATTTTTTTTATGCCATATGGCAGCAGGGTCTACCAGGGTCTACACAAGTTATCCTAAGTGATTATTTTGTTTAGTTTGCTTAATCAACAGATATTTCCTCTCCCGCCCCCCCTCAGTTCCCTACTACAACCCCCCTAACATCACGGCCCTGGAGTTGTACTGCACCAAGAACGTGTGTCCTGACTTTAAGTGTAATGAGAAGGACAAGAAGTGCATCAGCTACTCCTGGTACGATGTTAATGGTGAGTAACGGCTTGTACGATGTTGAATGGAATTTTGAATTGAATGTTAATGGTGAGTAACAGCTGGTGCGATGTTGATAGTGAGTAATGGCTGGTACGATGTTGATGGTGAATAATAAAAAACCTAAAAATTATTATTTTAACATCAAAAGCGACATTTATACACCTACAAAATAATAATAATAATAATAATAATAATAATAATAATAATAATAATAATAATAATAATAATAATAATAATAATGATAATAATAATAATAATAATAAAAATAATAATAATAATAATAATTATAATAATAATAATAATAATAATAATAATAATAATAATAATAATAATAATAATAATAATAATAATAATAATAATAATAAATTTATATCAATAGATAAATATGTATACAGATGAACACGAATATACAAAGAAATTAACATTACTGAAGTGTATTTTTTTTTACTTATTTCAAAATCTGACCAATCTTTTTATTCAATAACTTTAAAACACAAGTGGAGAGAGAGAGAGAGAGAGAGAGAGAGTTTCTCTAAGTGTCGCCCACCACTACTCTACGCTTATATAAATAATGTATTTCCTCGTTGGAATAAAAATAATGAAACACCAACCACTTTTTACAAATTTAATTGAAAAATATAATCTGCTGGAAAAGGGTGGAGACATTTTGTGAGGCCGGCGTTACGTCACTACAGGTAAATATAACTGCCAGTTCGTGTTTATCGTAAAATATATATTTTTTTATATTATCAAACGTCGTTTTTTATCATAACATAATTTACTAACTTATCATTAACTGTGAACCGTGACACGTCAAACTCAGTTATCCTACAGCTTCCATAGTGGGTATACGCCTTAGTTTAATACCATATAATAATATTGATATTTTTTTTATTTAATTGCTGTTATATCGTTTTTATTATATATATCTGTATCAAAGACAGTTATACTCTAAATTATTTCCGTTTATGTCAAATATATTTTGTATTTTAGTTACTTAGAATATACAGCCAATAAGAGGAAAGAAAATAAGAATGGTTGACCCTTAATTTCTTCACAGCAAAAAATATAAATAAAGTTAATCTCTGTGAGGTAAAATAGAAACAGATTTACCTGGTTTGTCTTATATTTTCAAGCCTTTAAGCCCTCTCCCTCTCACTCACTCCTCTCTCCCCTCTTACCACCCTACTCTCAGACCTCTTATCACTCTCACCACCCCTGACTTACCCTCCTCCCACTCTCACCACCCCTCACCCTCCTCCCACTCTCACTACCCCCACTCACCACCCCTCACTTACCCTCCTCCCACTCTCACCACCCCTCACCCTCCTCCCACTCTCACTCACCTCCCACTCACCACCACCTCACCCCTCCTCCCACTCTCACCACCTCACCCTCACTCACCCCCCACCTCACCACCCCTCCACTCACCCTCTCACCACTCTCACCACCCCTCACCCTCCTCCCACTCTCACCACCCCACTCACCACCCCTCACTTACCCTCCTCCCACTCTCACCACCCCACTCTCCCTCAACCAGATCGATTGGCAAACTACTCCCTCTTCTGTGGCAGTCTGGCTGACCATACCAATGCAGACGACCCGACCGTCAAGAGTTCTGGGTGCTGGGAGCAACGAGTCGGCACACACACAAGGAAGGTCTGCGTGTGTGACGACCACGACTACTGCAACGCTGCCTTCGCCTCCTACCCCGTCGTCTCCTTCGGGTTGTTCCTCATGATGTTACTTCCTGTGGTTGTCGAGCAGATAGCTAAAACATCATTGTATTAAGGGTGTGTGTAGGTGTGTTTAATCTGTCTGGATTTTAAGGTCTATTGATCATCTGTCACATCTGTATACACACACATAGAGCCTTGCTGACATTAAACATCTGTTACAGTTGCATAAATGAAGTTCTGTACACATTCTGTAAACCTAGCCTCCTCCCCCGTCTCACAGGATTTGACGCAGCTGTTAATGGGATCTGGATTTACACCTATCCGCACCTGCTAAAGCTATCGAGTAAGAGTATTGACAGGTGTCTCAGTCTGACCACTCGCTAGGTAGTGTTAATATCTATGTCGTGATGAATGTATAGAGTGATCAAAGCATGAAGTGATTATCTCTCTCTCTCTCTCTCTCTCTCTCTCTCCCTTTACAAGCCCCTCTGAGTAGTTGGATTCTAAAAACGTTTAGAGGTTAAAGAAAACAAAATTAGGATCACATCCCCTATCCATATCATAAAGCTTCGAATACTCTCTCAGTACATATGAACAAATGAGCATCGATTTCCTCCTGATTGACATTAAGCCTCTAAATATGTTTTTCTTAAGTGAAGCACAAAATAATTCAGATATGTAATACACTGAAAAGTACTTTAATGCAGTGATTGATAATGTGTTTATAAAGAAAAATATATAATGCTGATTTCGTAGTCGTGAAAAACGTAGCAATTGTGTGATATTTGTAGCTCTTATAAACAAGTATATAATGCTCCTTCCCGGTCCCTAAATGGTAGTATTGCCGTAGAGCGTTCATAAATAACCAGATAATGCTTCTTCCAGGGCCACCAAACTGTACCAATACTGTGATCTCTGTAGGCTTTGTAAACCACGTCATGCTCCTTCCCGGGCCCCTCGACACACCAGCACTATAACAGCTGCAGCAGTGATCGAAAAGAAGACTATGGTGGTTAGGGCCGGACCCAGACCTCAAATTTGACAGATACAAACTTTCAGATACTAAGGAATTCGTCATTTTATTTAAGAAAATGTGGATACTTTCTGGATACTTTTTAGAAGATTATGGATACGTTTTTACTTTGTTAGTTCTTTTGTGGATACGTTTTTATTTTTCACACTGGCAACACTGTAGCCAAGACTTACGGACGCACAGTTCAACATGCCGGGTAGATCGCGTCCCTGCGTTATTTGCAAAAGGAGAAAGGATACACATCCACATTTTCATTTTCATCGGTTTCCAAAAGACAGAGATACGCAACTTAAGTATTTAATCTCTTGTGAGTTACAGTAAAAATGTGCAATTATATATAGAAATACATTTCAAATCAGAGGCAGCAGCTTCATCAGTCACTCCGACTCACTTGATACGAATTTGACAGGAGTCGTAGCTGGCAAAATGCCATTGACATTCCCAGAATATACGTGAAGAACTGTGAGGAATTGCACAGAAGTTATCGAGTGTGCTTTTTTCCTTCATAATATATATATATATATATATATATATATATATATATATATATATATATATATATATATATATATATATATATATATATATATATATATATATATATATGTGTGTGTGTGTGTGTGTGTGTTAATGATTCATAATAATATTTATTATTAATAGTTAATGTTATTTTTTATGGTAATGTTAATATTTACATGTATCATGTTAGATGAAATATTATAATACATGAGTAACCAAGACACAACTTGAATATTTGGTTTTGTGTTTGTTTAATTCAATAAAGATAAACAATAAGAATGCCTTTTAATAGCCAAGAACTCTATTGAAAACAAAGTCATTTATTCCCCATATTTATGTCACGGCATGACAGGTGATTCATCACTTGCAGTAATTGTATGATAATAGTGCAAGAGAGAAGATTTTGTGTCTTTTAATTTCTGAACTCAACTAAGATCTTGAGGCAATGGAGTATGCATGTATACATACATAAATGAAGATTGATATGTTTAAAATAAATGGAAAAGGTGAAAAACATCACTCATGACCTCACAGTAACGTCTACGACGTCACGAATAGATTTTAGACTCAGCCAATAGATGGCGCTATAATTAAGGTTTCTGGCAACTGTACCGTACACGCATTTCACATATTTTAGGTGGAGCTTTCCTATCTTGATTAGAATATCTTCTTTTGGGGCTGTTCTCGTCACTCGTGTCCGGACTCCGAAGGTGTTGTGTACGAGAGATTACTGCCGTGTTGTGGTTGGGTTGGGTCGAGGACACCGCGACTGCAGACAGTGACGTTCATCGGCAGCCTTACCTCAGCAGCCCCGTCCAAGCTAAGTACCAGACCATTCACCTTTATTGATGTAGAAGGGATACTTTTGGGATACCTTTTAATTTTTATGGGATACTTTTTTATTATCATGGTGTCATTTGGGATACATTTAATTTGTTTTCCACTGGGAATACTGAGGGTAATAGTGGAGCAGACGGCTAGCTCCAGGAGTAGTTTATGGAATTCGTTCATAAATTCCAGTTCTTTTTGGAGGACATAAGTGCATTGGTTGAATCGGCCTTGATCCGGCCCTGATAGTGGCATAATGCTTCATCAAGGATCACAGAACACGAAAAAAAAATTCTTAACGTGATGTCACTCTTCCCATGATCCTCTACGCTGGAGGTAATACACGAATGGCGAATGAGGTGTAGTGTACACAGCTACTAACGTGTGGCAGTGACGGACAGAAACTTTTTTTTTCACATTCAGATAAAGCTGTGATAGTCGGAGAGACAAAAATTGTTTGATGTAAGCTTTTTAATCGTTTCCGACAGATCTCGTAAAAGGGAGCAGATTACTGTGAAAAATGACTTAAGTGAAGCAGCATACTCACATGGATGAAAACCTACCATGTTTACATAGTCGTGTTTATGTGTTGACGAAGGTGAATAGAATGTTACTGTAATTAGCAGAATGTGTTATTGACTATACCTTAAGCTTCGACCATATTTGTAATCAGTGAACTTTGGTGTTATTTAACGTGATATGTAAAAAATTATGAAGTTTTATTTGTGCCGTGCAATTAACAGTGATAAGAAAACTAGTTATCATATTTTTTTCACTTTAATAGTTCAAAAGCCAACAGTACAGGTGACAAATACAGAATAGAAATGTTACATACAGGTACTGATACAGGTACAGAAATAATACAGATACGAGTACAAAGAAACTTTATAAGTCAAGGTACAGTTAGGAATACAGGTACAACAAGGGGGTACAGCGGCAGACAGACACGAGAACATAAGCATTTACCCTTTGTTTGAAATACCATTAACATACACACCCACTGAGGGACGGTGGTTGAAGGAGTTAAAGGGTATATCGTAAACATTCACCCTTAGATCTCCACACACCCACTAAGGGACGGTGGTTGAAGGAGTTAAAGGGTATATCGTAAACATTCACCCTTAGATCTCCACACACCCACTAACGGAAGGTAAGGGTTAAGGGGTGGTGTAACATCCACCCTTAGATCTCCCACTCGTCAAAGAAGCGGATGTCCTTGAAGGTTGAGTTATCGGGGTTGAATTCACCGTCTGTCGGGTGACCGTAGCCCACATAACAGTACAGGTGGAAGCTGAAGGTGAGGCGGTAATTAAGGTTCGGGTAAACATCGAGATGACGTCATTTAAACAGGTAAAAATCATATAAAACATCAAGGGTAATTTATATAAACATCCAGAAGGTTAGTTATAAACATTGAAGTAAAATTATATAAACATCAAAGGTAATTTATATAGACATATTAAGGGCAAAGTATATAAACATTATTAGTTAGTTTATATACGGATTGGGGAAATTTATATGAACATAATAGAGATCAAATATAAATTCTGTTGTAAGTGATGATAGATTCTAGGCTATTAGACCTTCCTTCCACACACACCTGGGGAAGAACGTACCTGTAGGCGAGGATACCAAGGAACACGCCGGAGGCCCAGTGGAAGGCGACGTTAGCTTTGACACGGGGTAACCAGGTGTCAAGACACTCAAGGGCGTACCCAAACACCACCGCTGGAACACAGGTATTATGTACGGTCTTAATTAATTAGGAGTAGACAGGTGGGCTCTTATAACTAGGAGTAGACAGGTGGGCTCTTATAACTAGGAGTAGACAGGTGGGCTCTTATAACTAGGAGTAGACAGGTGGGCTCTTATAACTAGGAGTAGACAGGTGGGCTCTTATAACTAGGAGTAGACAGGTGGGCTCTTATAACTAGGAGTAGACAGGTGGGCTCTTATAACTAGGAGTAGACAGGTGGGCTCTTATAACTAGGAGTAGACAGGTGGACTCGTAATTAACTAGGAGTAGACAGGTGGGCTCGTAATTAATTAGGAGTAGACAGGTGTATTTACAGGTACACGTTTGATTAACCAAAAGGTAAAATGAAGTCCGCATGAGTACCTGTGACCCTCCTCCTGTAAATACCTATTACCCTCCCATGAGTACCTATAACCCTCGTGTGAGTACCTATAACCCTCCTGTAAATACCTATAACCTTCCTGTAAGTACCTATAACCCTCCTGTAAGTACCCATAACCCTCCCATAAGTACCTATAACCCTCCTGTAAATACCTATAACCTTCCTGTAAGTACCTATAACCCTCGTGTGAGTACCTATAACCCTCCTGTAAGTACCCATAACCCTCCCATGAGTACCTATAACCCCCCATAAGTACCTATAACCCCCATGAGTACCTATAACCCCCATGAGTACCTATAACCCTCCTGTAAGTACCTGTGAGCATGGATGAGAACTGGAGGGCGGGGAAGTAGTGGTGGTAGTAGAGGATGCGGTCCATGGTGTAGAAGGGGAGGTAGTGGAGTGAGTAGGCCAGTAGGAGCCACTTGACGGCGAAGATCATCCTCTCCTTTCTCTCTGTGGGTGGATAGTGAGGGATAGTGAGGTGCTGGGAGGGATAGTGTGGTGCTGGGAGGGATAGTGAGGTGCTGGGAGGGATAGTGTGGTGCTGGGAGGGATAGTGAGGTGCTGGGAGGGATGGTGTGGTGCTGGGAGGGATAGTGAGGTGTTGGGAGTTATTTTAATCATAATTTTCAAAACCAAAAACAAATCACCATTTAAGATCGAGTTTTTAGAGAAGGTGTTGGTGAAAAGTCCACAATGTACCGTGATGTATCGTACTGGACTGTCGTATAAAGTACCATTGTGAACTGTATACTTTATTCCAGTGTATCAGATTGCACCGTGATGTACCCAAATGTACCGTGGAATCGTATCAACCACCCTGATAATGTTTCCAAGCACTAATCCCTACCTTAGTGTACCATAATGTACCGTGGGATCGTACCAACCACCCTGATAATGCTTTACTGTACCCAAAACGCACCGTAATGTACCGTGGGATCGTACCTGCTAGCTTGGGGTTGTGGGGAAGACCTCGTTTCATCTTGTAGTGGTGATAGACCAGTAGACCAGGGGCCACCAGTAGGAAGGCCAGGTTGACCCAGAAGATGAGGGGGTTACCCAACAACACGATGCGGAAATTGACGTCGAACCATACCTGAGACTGTGATTGATGATGGTTATTGATGGTTATTATTGATGGTTAAGAGTGGTGATTGATGGTGGTTATTGATGAAACATGAGGACCACCACCACCACCACGTACACACTGAAACATAAGGACCACCACCACGTACCTTGAAGCATAGAGGCCACATCCACGGACGGTGTGAGTCATATAAGTCCTGTCCCATCGGTTTAAGCCTTGAGTTGACCCATGTCATGACCCGGTGAGTCTCCAGGAACCGCGAGACGAATCCGCTCTTTAGGTGCTCGTAGGTATTGTTCTTCACTGTGAACCAGACATAAACAGAGGTTGGGTTAGGTTAGGTTGGGTGCTGTGTGATTTAGTACTTTATAGACAGACAGACAGAAAGACAAATACACAGGTTACTACTATTACTCTATCATTATTACTACTACAATTAATACTACTACTAAAATTACTAATGCTGTTTATACTACTACTACAATTATTACTGGTATTACTACTATTACTACTACTAATAATAATAATGATACAGAAACTAACAACAATAGTAATAAAAACAACAGCCCCCCAAAAAATAGACGTTAAAATAAACAAAAATATTATAAATTCAGGATCGTCAGCTTCATTTGGTCGTCTCTGTGGAAGAACAACGAGAGACGCTTGGGAGTTCAACCCCTGACATTTGATAATATTGACCTTTTCCCGCGATAGGTGTTGCTGACAGACATGGGCTGACATTTACACCTGCTAACGGCATTCTGAAACTATCCTCACACCAAAGACATTCTGACACCATTAAACCGACATTCTGACTCTATTTTGACATCATAAAGTGACATTCTGACACTATTCTGACTATTCTAATTAGCCTCGTGTGATAAGAGTCGATTTTAGTATTGGGACAAAGGGTGGATCTGTTTACGTTACGTTTGGGGAGGAAAACGGAGGGATGTGGTGTGGCAGGTTAACAGAATAAGGACAAACCACAGAATCTGGTCGTTGAAAACAGATCAAATGGATAGAACTACCGTAAATAAACAGTCTACAACGGGACAGCACATGGTTTCAAGGGGTAATAAGGGGTTCTAAAGGGTGCCATGTTATACTAAGGGCTACTGGGGACTGCTACAGGACATTAAGGGGATTTAAGGGCTACTTTATCTAGGGTTCTAAGGGGCAGGGGCGGTGGTACTTACGGTAAGGGTTAAAGTTTTGTTCAACCATCCAATTGGTATACGGGTCCTGAAGGTTGTTAGAACAGGTGACCTCCGCTTGACCTCCACCCCTGAGAGGTTAAAAAACAGAAAGAGGTCAAGTTAGGTCACATTAAGGGACTATTATTTACATCACACACACACCCACCTCTCACCCCACACTCACTTAAACCCACTCACCCCCCCACTCACTTAAACCCTCTCACCCCCACTCACTTAAACCCACTCACCCCCACTCACTTAAACCCTCTCACCCCTCACTCACTTAAACCCTCCACCCCACTCACTTAAACCCACTCACCCCCCCACTCACTTAAACCCACTCACCCCCACCCTCGACTCACTCACTTAAACTCACCCCCCACTCACTTAAACCCACTCACCCCACTCACTTAAACCCACTCACTTAAACCCACCCCCCCACTCACTTAAACCCTCTCACCCCCACTCACTTAAACCCTCTCACCCCCCACTCACTTAAACCCTCTCACCCCCACTCACTTAAACACTCACCCCTCTCACTTAAACCCTCACTCACTTAAACCCTCTCACCCCCACTCACTTAAACCCTCTCACCCCCACTCACCAGCGCATAGGTAACGTGCCTCTGGACCAAGTAAGAGCACACTGATGAGCAACGCATAGAAATTTGACCTTGGAATCCAGGGTTCGAACTACATCACCTGGTTTACCACCTTCCACGTGAACCGCCCACAGCTGCCATGGGGTCACCTGGCGGGAGAAGGTCAGGTTATATTTTTTATTAACTAGATTGATATTTAAGAGGGATAGGTATGATTATATTTTGAAAAGTGATGAAGAATAGTGGAATTGTGATGACAGACACAGATAGTAGATAGATAGATAAATAAATAGATAGCCAGACAGACAGACAGATAGACAGAGACGGACACACACACACACAGACAGACAGACAGAGACGGACACACACACACACACACACACACACACACACACACACACAGACAGACAGACAGACAGATACATTAAAGTGATTGTTCCAGTGTTGTTTCAAGATATCAGGATTTAACCCCACGAGTACAATATAACATTTTACCCAAACAAAACAACTCATTTATTTTCTCAGGATTAAAGGCATCGTACTCAAGAGGGGGGGGGGGTGAAGATATCGTACTCTTTGGGTTTTAAGACGTACTCATGGGGTTAATATATCGCATTTTAGGGGTTAATATATCGCATTTTAGGGGTTAATATATCGTATTTGAAGGTTTAAGATATCGTACTCAAACTATTTAGATATGGTATTCAAGGGATTAAGATATCGTATACATGGGGTTAAGACATCGTACTCAAGGGGTTAATGTATCGTACTCAAGGGGTTAATGTATCGTACTCAAGGGGTTAATGTATCGTACTCAAGGGGTTAATGTATCGTACTCAAGGGGTTAATGTATCGTACTCAAGGGGTTAAGATATCGTACTCAAGGGGTTAATGTATCGTACTCAAGGGGTTAAGATATCGTACTCAAGGGGTTAATGTATCGTATTTAAGGGGTTAAGTTATCGTACTCAGAGGGTTAAGACACCATACACAAGGGGTTAAAACATCGTACTCAAGGGTTTAAGACATACCTTATGCTCAAAGACAGACAGACAGACAGACACATTACCTCAGCGCTAGACATGGTGGGTTTGGTCTCCAAGTTGAAGGCGTCTTTAATTAAGGCTCCTTCCTCCTGCACCGTCAGGTTCTGGGGGGCACACCAATTATTGTGGTTATTACTACTGACGTACACATGACAATAATAATCACGTACACACCACAATAATCACGTACATATCCCAATCACGTACATAAGGTTTGGCGTAGACAAGTTGGTGTTTCTTGGTGACCAATGACTTGTTCTTGCCGCAGGAGATGAGTGTCTTGGTGGTGGGGTGGTAGAGGCGAACCCAATCCCCATGACCTAAGAATTCAGGCATCCCGGCGTAATAACCATTCTCCATCTCTGGGTCTTCTTCAGGTAACAGGACCTTGCTGTAGGAGGGGATGAAGGTGCAAGGGTAAGGGTGGTGTACTTGCTATGGGGGAGTTATAGTGGGGGGGGGGTTATTGAGAGGTTAAAGTTTGTGTAGGATTATTTCTAGTAAACAGATAAGCACAGGTAGACATAAAGACACTTACAAATAGTTGTTGACATCCTTAGCTCTGAACCCTGTCACCTGCTGCTTGTTCTTGCCCACTCTTATCTGAGGGTAGGTGAAGTTGTGGCTGTGTAGGTAGATCCCCGCCAGGTTGTCGTTCCTCAGGGTCACCACATTCCCGTACGCCACCTCTGAGGTCACAATAGGTCAGTACTCCATACATACCATGGGTTAGGTCAACGATAAGACTTGCTATAAATAAAAAACAAAAGGTATAACACCGGAATGACTACTGAGAAACACAAAGTTGACTTAATGAGATGCAAAACGATGGAGGAAACTATGTATGTATACAGTATATGTCTAGATACGTTTATTCAATTCTATACATATACATAATTAGTAAAAATATAACCTCCATTACCTATGTATATTCTCAATGTATCGTAACAACTAACTTATAGGATGGGATGAAAACGGTGATTTTGTGGTTGGGAAATTGTGTCTCACTCGCTGAAATGATCATGTGAGACTTGCCAACCTGCTGTGTCATTGTTTATTGGGAACACAGATAATTAACATATAAACAGATTAGCGGGAGAAGAAAGAGAAGAAGTGTACCTGTTTCACGTCGATTAGGTTGTGTTTAGCGCCACAAGACGAGGAGGTAGAAGAGAAAGAAAAATAGGAGGAGAGGGGAGAAAAAAGATAAAAAGATAAAAGAGAAGAATAATAAGAGGGTACATAGGAGTAGGGAAGGAGAGGAGGAGCGTACCACTTGGCTGGGTGATGTTGTTCAGACTGCTGTTTCTAAGCGTCATTTGGAACCCCGGGCTGAAGTGAGCCTCCTCGACAGCAAAGAGATTCACCCTGTCAACACACACTTTGTTACTCTGTTGCATTAGCATAAAATAGTTCTCTCAGGTGATAGTCTCCGACACTGATAGATATTGTCATAGTCACATTCTTTGATATACTCACCAAAAAAAACTTCCTAGAAATCAAAAGTTCCTTAGATATTTTAGGCCCTCAAACTCTCTAAGTGGTGAGTTATGATGAGGGGAATTTTTTTCCCTGGGGCTATGTTATACATTGTTATGTTGGGACAGAATCGATTTATCAGATTTTTATGTTTTGTTAGGTTATCCAGAGAAATAGTCGTTTTCTTTTATGCTGCAACATAGAAAACTACACTGTTTTTAAAGCACAGACTTAACTATACTGACTTATTGAGAATTGCGTAAAATTGTTCATACCGATTTCTGATCATAAATAAGACAGTTAAAGTATTTATTTTAAGGCGAAAAACCTAATCAGTCCTATTCTTTAGTTGTTAGGTTTGTTTAAAACTTTAAATTAAGCTTGAAAAAATTACTGACCATGTCTATTAATCAAAACAAACGCCTGTAACCATCCTGAGAGAGAAACAACGGGAGAAAGGGAGCTTCTTATTCTTCAATATAAAACCCTAAATCACCACTAGTTGACAGAGAAGAGTTGTAAGAACACTCACGCGCTGTCTAGGAGTGTGTCGTGGATGAAGAAGACGGTGATATAGATACAGGCAGGCAGGATGATGAGACAGACAAACCGCGCTAGGAAGTGCTGTACCACGCTCACCTGTCGTAACACAGAGAAGCCGTGAGAAGACAAAGTTGGCCTTAATGGTGGTTATGTTCCCCGTTGCGTCACTACAACATTATGATACTGTGCATAATAATGGTGCAAAATAATTAGCCCCCTCATTGCACCATAATTCTTCATAACAAAGATGCAAAATATTAATTCATCCGAACAACGACAAAAAACAATTTGAGAGGACGTAAATTTTAACAGTAATGACAAAAACACTGATTAATGAACTCGCCTGAGCTCTTGTTGTGATAAATTTAGGGAACAACTTTAATACATATCAATTGCTACTAGAACTACTGTATCGTTTCATAAGCCCCCCCCCCCACACACACACACACACACACATCCCTAAGCGGTTCCTACCAGAGGACGGTGTAGTTCGCCCAGTTTGGCCCAGAGGTCGAGGGCGGTGTACCAGCCCACCACCAGCACCACGAAGAGACCCACAAACTTGACGGATATCACGCACCCAAGCATCGTGCCCGTGTACAGGTATGACCCCCACCACGCTCTCGAGAACGGCCTGGGAAGAGGATGAGAGAAGTTTTAGTGATCCTGTTACTACACCTGCCACTCCTTCGCAAGACGACCTTTGGAGGAGGTGGTGAAGGTGTTCTTCGTGGTGTAACTACGATCTCACCACATCCTCGATAACGACCTGTGAATGAGAAGTATTAGTTTCTAGTACTATTCCCAATACTCCTCGAGGACGACTTGTGAAGAGGAGCTGAGAGAGATCTTAGAGATGCTGTTATCACCAACAATATTCCCTCGAGGGCGACCTGTCAAAATTCGGAGAAATCGGAGTGTTCCTGAACCATAACATTGTTCATCCCAGTCCACGTGCGACCTTCTACACTACTTGGAGAAGAACCTCTCAAGGGGAAGGTTCGGAGAGACTTTCAAACCCTACACAGTTTTTCTATCAGTTACTCTCCTCTTCTCCTTATCAGTAATTAGACAAAACTCTCTCTTTACCCTTTTATTATATATCTCCAATCATATTTAATCTCTCCCTCTGCTCCTCATCTTTTACTAGCACCTATTCTCTCTCTCTCTCTCCCTTCTTCTTTTAACCACTCATCCTTCTCTTCCCTTCCCTCAATCGTAACTCGCTCCTCCCCCTTCACTTAACTCACCTGTCGGCGACGCTGTGCATGAGACAGAGGCCGTGGAAGGAGGCCATGATGAAGAAGAACAGCGGAGGATCGAGCAGGATGAACTTACTGAGTGTGATCGTTCCCACCTCTGTGTCACACACCCCGCCGCCACACCCAGCGTAAACAGCACGTCAGGGAGTGTGGGGTTATAAATAGGCAAGTGTTAGATTAAAGTGTACAGAGTTATTCTTAAGTCTACTTAGATTCATTAAGTTATAAGTAACTAATTTATTTCAATCGTGATTACTTAACCTAACCTAACCATATGTAACAACCTCACTTTACACAACCTCAATTAACGAATACTCCCATTTAACGAAACATTCAACATCGCTTAACGAAACTCATTTTAACCCAACCCACCGTAACCCAACCCACCGTAACCCAACCCACCGTAACCCAACTCACCGTAACCCGACCCACCGTAACCCGACCCACCGTAACCCGACCCACCGTAACCCGACCCACCGTAACCCGACCCACCATAACCCAACCCACCCATAACTACATTGATTACTTAACACCTACATAAACTAAGTAAAAATCACTAATAAACGAAGACTCTTAAGTGGCTGAGGGCGACAGTGGTTACTTACCGAAGGTGATGAGGGCGGCGGCGAAGGTGGAGGCGGGGAGAGACCGTGTGAGTGTCCAGACAGTGTGGAACCCCAGTGGCACCATCCCAGCACCCAGTATGGCGCACCCCTAGTGTGTATGAGCGGAGAGGCATAGTGTAGGGGTTTAGGTCCAGTATGGCATCGTCGGGGGGTATGGGTTTATTTTGTGCTGAAGTTTAACTTAGGGTTTATTATAACGTACAGGGAGGAGTTGTGGGTTTGGTATAATAAGGACGAATTTCTGGGTTCATTATGGCAAAGGTTTTTAACGGGGTTTATCATGGGTAAGGTTTAACTGTGGGTTAAGCTGGGGTTTTAATTGGGTTTATCACTTCAGACTAAACTAATCATATCACTTAACGTTTAATTACGGGGTTCATTCAATTATGTGTATTGTTATATTTCAAGAGAGAGAGAGAGAGAGAGAGAGAGAGAGAGAGAGAGAGAGAGTATATACTCACCACTCTCATGGGCATTATTCCATGATAGCCGTCATAAGGTGTATTAGGGGCGACGAAGGAATGAGTGCCATTATATCCTCCCAGGTAGCCGAAGAGTGTCAACAGCAGCTGCCACAGGAGAGAGATATAGTTAGACAGTGCCAATCATGAGTGCCACAGGAGAGGGATATAGTTCGACACAGTGCCAATTATGAGTGCCACAGGAGACGAATGTAAAGTTAGATACAGTGCCAAGCATGAGTGCCACATATACTGAAAGTGACACACATACTCGTTTACAATAATTTTCAGTACATATCACAATTTCTCTTACTATTGACGTGTCGAAATTTCATGGTCATACAGGTGTTACGAATGACGTCATGACTAATTAAGGTACGTCAGTAGAAGGTAGAGTGTGTGTAAAGGTGTTAAGTGGTGTTAATTGTGGTTGTCTTGGTTGTTGTTGTCGTGTTAATGATGTTGTTTGTGAGGTAAACGTGTACACAAACGTTATAAATACACACACACACACACACACACACCCACCTTGCCTCCTGCCGGGTGAACGTCCATGAAGAAGGTTCTGTTCATGTACCAGCCCACCATCTTACCGAAGTGAGCCTCGTCCCACCTGTATAGACAAATATTAAAAGACAGACATTGTACAGACAGTTATATTTTTAACAGACAGGCATTATACAAACAACAGACATAGACATTATAGAGAACATAAGTTATTAGACATTATAGTTATAAATGGTAAAAAAAAAAAACATTTAGACAATGAAATAATTTATAATCTGAAACACACGACGAAGCTGAGGGAGTTATGATGTAAACTTACTAGCACACACACACACACACACACACACCATAAACAAAACACAAGAGGTACTCACACCACCTTGTAGGGAACCGTGATATAATGAAGCCTGGAGACGACTGCTGCCACCACGAACATCCACCACACACACCACCACGCCCCGTCACTCTCACCCTCCCTGTGGTAGGTGAGAGGGTATTAATCGTGAACTAAGTCAAGGTTATGAACAAATAGATTATAATTTTATTTTTAGTATCCAAATATATACACAGATAAGCGCACATTTATGTCATTCCTCACCTTAAACTGTCGAGAGCGGCTAGTAAGCGTTTAGGGAGTGAGGGCGTGGCGGCTGGAGGAGGAGGAGGAGAAGGGGTGGTTGTCGTGGAGGAGGAGGAGGAGGAGGAGGAGGAGGAGGGGGGAAGGTGCGTCACAGTAAGAGTTTCCACATCCTCCTCCGGTAGTGGGTGACCCGTCGTGCTGTCGTCGCTCTCACTCATGCTCACCTGTCGTCAATATTCATTATTAATTGCCTAAACTAATCTAACCTGACGCTAATCTAATCTATCCTAACCTAACGCAAACCCAACAACCACCTCCAGGTAGATTTGGGGTGTTCAATCATCAGGTGAGCTATGAGGGGTTGGGGGGGGGGTGATCTCTACGTTTATTATTTATTATTATTACCAATAGTCTTGTGAATAATATCATCGTCACTGTCGTTATCACCATCATCATTATTTCCATCATCATCATCATTATTTCATTATCATCATCATCACACTTTGGAGCATCATTTTCAGGTTAGCAATATTCCACCCATTTAGTATTATACTCCAATAACTCGCTATGATCACTAATAATACTAAACAGAAGGCCTATAACGCTCAATAAACTTACTAAATTACTTAAATCTATATAATAATATTTACACTTACCTTATCAATATATATTCTGTATTAACTAACATCAAACGTTACAGTCATAAGAACGTAATACAGCATCCTGTAATGTAGGATTCGTAATATATTTGTAATTAACTCACTTGGGAAAGAAATACTGTAATATTAAGTTGATGTACTTTAGTTATACATACCTGTAATGTTGTATTATGTTGTAGTATTTCTATCCACTGAAGACTTTTGCTCTGATAACTACAATCTCCGGTGGTCACTAACACACTGACAAGACTTTAACTCCGCCGTCAGTATCCCCAGGGGGAGCAACTCGTGGCCAAGCCTAAACTGTCGTACCTCTTAACATCATCTCCTGCTAGGCTAGGGACTCTCCTCTATTTATTGCACCTGACAAACTATTTTCTTTCTCTTGGATTTGTTTTGTTTTGTTTTTTGTTTTTTTAAGATATTTGAGAAAGTGGGGTAATACATTTACTCTCTCAGTTTGTTTTTGCTCTCTTTTCCTCGTTGGTTCTACAGTATATGAATGTTGGAGCCGTAGATATGACTTGTTCCGTAATATAAATATCTCATTTTTTAAAACATACAATGAACTACAAGCTATGTTTTTTAAGTACATGTCATAAATTCTGATTACATAATTCTACGGTATAAATATTGGTAGTGTTTTTTGAGTCATGGCACTTCTGATATGGTAAAGTAGCTCTTTAATTAAAAATTAATGGTAAAATAGATCGGACAGCAAAATAAGGCAACTGGTGAATGTGTTCTAATACACACAACCTTGATGATATTCTCGGAAGAGGAGAGACAAGAATTATATAATTGTTACAGTAGGAAAATCGTGAAGGTTTATGTGTCGTGGCAGATAAGCAGCGCTGGCGGACGACGACGTGAACGTGGCGGCTCCTGAAGGCCTTCCCTCCCATAGATAGAAGGTACACATAGATAGTGTAAATATACAAAATGGTAAACAACACTGCTAATTATTTATAACTGTAATAATATTTATCCAATAAATTTCTCATACTATGCATGTACAGTAGGCCCTTGGGAGTATACAGTTCCTGTGTGCCGAAACAGTACAGGTAAACAACAATGGTAAGCAGTAAGGCAATTTGACCAGGCTGTCAGGTGCTTGTTTCCAGGAGGATCTTTTGTTTGGGCTGAGTTTTGGTTACTAGTTACAGTATATGAATAGGAGCGAAAGTAAAAGATTTTAATAAATTCAACAAACATTACATTGCCTTTGGAACTATCCGAGGCTGGCGAAGTGAGGGAAGGACTAGCTTGTTGTGTGTACGAGTGAAGGAAGGACTTTACTGATCTACTGGAGAGTGAGGAGAGGACTTTACTGTCCTGTGTAGGAGTGAGGGAAAGACTGTACTGTCCTGTGTAGGAGTGAGGGAAGGACTTTACTTACCTACTAGGGAGTGAGGAAGGACTTTACTGACCTACTAGGGAGTGAGGGAAGGACTTTACTTACCTACTAGGGAGTGAGGAAGGACTTTACTGACCTACTAGGGAGTGAGGAAAGGACTTTACTGACCTACTAGGGAGTGAGGAAGGACTTTACTGACCTACTAGGGAGTGAGGGAAGGACTTTACTGACCTACTAGGGAGTGAGGAAGGACTTTACTGACCTACTAGGGAGTGAGGGAGGACTACTGACCTACTAGGGGTGAGGGAAGGACTTTACTGACCTGGGGTGGGAAGGACTTTACTGACCTACTAGGGAGTGAGGAAGGACTTTGCTGACCTGCTTTACTGACCTACTGGGACTTTAGGGACTTTACTGACCTACTGAGGGACTTTACTGACCTGAGGAAGGGAGGAAGGACTTACCTACTAGGGAGTTACTGACCTACTAGGGAGTGAGGGAAGGACTTTACTGACCTACTAGGGAGTGAGGAAAGGACTTTACTGACCTACTAGGGAGTGAGGAAAGGACTTTACTGACCTACTATGGAGTGAGGAAAGGACTTTACTGATCTACTAAGGAGTGAGGGAAGGACTTTACTGACCTACTAGGGAGTGAGGGAAGGACTTTACTGACCTACTAGGGAGTGAGGAAAGGACTTTACTGACCTACTATGGAGTGAGGAAAGGACTTTACTGATCTACTAAGGAGTGAGGGAAGGACTTTACTGACCTACTAGGGAGTGAGGAAAGGACTTTACTGCCGTTAATCCTACATAAGGCGATTGTCCCCATTTTTCGTTTTTGCCGTACTGCTCGTCAAACTCAAGGGTCGTACTGTGGGGAACAGGTTGTTTGGTTCACACTCAGGATGGGATGGAGAAAGGAAACTCACAATGTGCTCTCCTGTATACATGTTGTATTGGACGTACAATGCAGCTTGGTGCTGGGAAGGCAGCATGGTTACAAGCGTGATGTAGGGAGAGCTGGTTGGTGAGGGTGCTCAGAAGAGGACAGCTTGTGGGTCGCCATGCTCGCCGGCGGGAGCGAGGACCGCTAGGCAGCGGCGGAGGAGGTGGTGTAGCTGGCTGGTTGGTGTAGGTAGAAAGAGGAGAGTTGATTGGTGAGGATGCTCAGAGGAGGACCAGCCTGTGGGTCGCCATGCTCGCCGGCGGGAGCGAGGACCGCCAGGCAGGCAGAGGAGGAGGAGGTGTTGCTGGCTGGTTGGTGGAGGTAGAAAGAGAGAGATCACCACGAGGTCAGGTCTTAAATAGCGGGGGTTGGCGTGGCTTAGTAGTTGATCCCCGCTCCGTGGGCGGCGCTGGTTGACCTAGACCACGAGGCACACACTGTGGAATTCGCGGGGTCGGCTATGCAGCGACAAACAGCGTTTGTAGGGGAGAAATCCACTACAATACTCCCTCCTTCTCTCCAGGCAGTGTTGGAGACTTGTTGTCTGCAGGGTTGCATGGCACATGTGAGGCAGAACGGCGGTGCATGCCTCATGTGAGACAACGGCGATGGCGTGGATGAGCCGGTCGCTGGGGACAACTGTCTAGATACATAATATCTGTGGGAGTAGAGAGGGAGAAAAAGGGTGTGTGGAGGCGATGAATGTTGTGCTTCCCTCACGGCAGGTACAGAGTCGTCAGATGCGCCTGCTGGGGTGTGTGGGCCTGGGTCAGGAGCAGGGGCTGCGTCAGCAGAAGCAGATGAGGGCTCGTGACAGCAGCTGGGTCCACGACAGCAGCAGGGTGCAGGACATTAGCAAGGAGTACCTGAGGGAGAAAAGAGGGGTGTGTGGGCCCGCACTCAGGAGCAGGGGCCGCGTCAGGAGAAGCGGCAGGGGGTACTGCTGTGCCGGGGCGGCGTCTGAGGCAGGACGGGCGGTGCATGTACTTCCCTCACGGCAGGTAGAGTCGTCAGATGCGCCTGCTGGGGTGTGTGGGCCTGAGTCAGGAGCAAGGGTTGCGTCAGCAGAAGCGGCAGGGGGTCGGCTATGCAGCGACAAACAGCGTTTGTAGGGGAGAAATCCCCACTACAGTACCAACATCAAGAAGTTATCGTATGGGAATTTTAACATTATTAACCCGAGAAAAAAAATGCTAAAAATCATGTTTAAGATTTTTTTTTTTAGATTCAAGTTTGTTCAGGTTGTAACAAACTCGAGCGTAAATATATTATAAAAAATGGGGTAAAGGTAATCGGTTAAATCGTCTACACCTGTGAATGTAATTAGCCTATAACTACTGGTATCCACTTTCAGTATACCGTAGTTAACGAATACCTAAACACACCTGGAATATATAATTATAATTTGGAGGTTGTGGGTTGTAATTGTTCATAGTTGTGGATAGGTTGTGTTAAGTGGTGGTTTGTAAGTCGTGTGTTACTGACGAGTTACAACAATTTCTCGGCACATAATCACCACTGTCACCAGAATCACACACTACAGCACTCACATCAAATAGTTCTTGCCGTATCTCGCTATCATCCAGCCTGCGGCGGCAGTGCTTGATGGGGGTGGAAGATGTGGGAGGTGACCGAGCGTGAGAGGTTGGGGGGCAACTCTCCATGGCAACAGGCTAATGTGTACTAACCGCACTGAGCCCACCTAAATAGTCATGCTGGAACCTGATAACCCACGCTGGGCATTCACACAATGGCGAGCGTTCCGGAACGTCAACTGTTGCGCCCTGGATGGACATTCCGGAAGGTCAACCGGAGCGCCCTGGATGGACATTTCGGAAGGTCAACCGGAGCGCCCTGGATGGACGTTCCGGAAGGTCAACCGGAGCGCCCTGAATGGACATTCCGGAACATCAACTGGGGCGTAAGGGTTAAGTGAGTTGTTTCTTTGAAATTCCCGGTACGTTTGACAGTTTCTGTGTGGGAGAATATAAGAGCAAAACAATAGGCATAAATATTTATTTATGCCTATGGCCATGGAAATTATTGAGTTGTAAGCATGCTTCAAAATTCTGCTGCAATGAGTTCGTGTACCGTGTACCAAGCACGTCACTTGCAAAACTAAGTTGTGGTGGAAATATGAGAAAATCCAATTGTTGCTAAATACTGTATAGGAAAAAACTAGCTTTAATTTAAGAGCCATTTAATTAGCTACAATTTGGGGATCTATAGATACATCCGACACTGAATAAGTCTCTCCCCTTCAGTTAATTTTACCACTTTAATTCTTCAGAAGCGTCTTCCCACTGCATTCTCACCTGGCCGGCTCTAAAGTCTTCTCTAGTATAAATAACCACATCCCTTTTACAAGTTGCCTGAAAAAGTTTCATAAATGAGTCATATCCCTCTATATTAAACTGACATTCATCTGGGTCGATCCTCCTAATCTTATACTGTACAACAGTTCAACAGCACCTATTAAATCAGGTTGGTGGGTCTTGAGTAAAGTTTCAAACTTCGCTCTCATGCCAAGGAAATGTCAGTATTTATTACATGACTATCAAACCGGAAATATTCCTTGGTAGCGACTCTTAACTTGGCAGTGGCTCTGCTGGCCTCCTTCCTTCCTCAGCAACTGCCTCATTTACTTAACTCACTGTATTTTGTACCGTATGGCCAGAGATGACATTGTTTACGTGGTGCATGCCTAGAACTTTTAGAATGATCTGCCAGAGTATTGTGACGGCACCGAGTGTGAACTCAAGACCAAACTTCACCAACACTGAAGGTTGGTTCAGATTCTTTCTGGAACCAGTGCATCATACCCAGTACTTGCCAACAGTGCGCAAAGGAGACGTGACAGACCGCCCAAGCGATGAACCTGCCAATCAGTTGCAAAGAGGATAAAAGTAAAAGTAACAGGCATCAGCCTGTGGGAAGGAGGATAAAGTACAGTACATTAACAAATGTCAATTCTTTGAAGGTTTCTTTCAATAAATAACAAGATGATGTAAATATTTTACTCATTCCCTCTATGCATGTTCAACATCATAAATTTCACAAAGCACATTTGTAATGGACATACACAAACCCATAGCCCATAATACTGTAAAAAATGACAGACTGCAATTTTCTAGATAAATCAACGCAGGTACAGACAACATGTAGAATTAAAAATTAGTCATGTCAAGGATTGTTGATTATCGAAATTAATTTTATTAAACTAATAAAATGACATTATTGACTGAATTCTTGAAATATTTTACAAAAACAAAATTGTTTTCATTAGTTATAAAATATTTTTAGTTATAGCTCACAGATATTTAAAATCAGAAACACAGCTTGTCATACAGTACACTAGATTATTTCTGTTGAGCCAAAATGTGTGAAAACAGGTCCAATACCCTAATGTCATGTTCATAGCAGCATGGATACAGCACAATGAATACTAAGCCCCAGTACACCAGGAGATGCACCAGGTGCAATCCAGCACCCCTTGGGACGAGAGACAAGTGTTGTATCCACTGAACTACTGCAGTTAAATGAAATATAATGCAAAATTAATCATATAACACCCAGGTATATCAAACTGCACTGAATTTTATATTGACTAGAAAATTAAATTATCATTTTTTTTAACCCTCAATTCACCATTTATTTCATCTGTGCTACAAACTTATAAGTTACACCACAAAAAAAAAACATTGTTTCCTCAATGGAATTTTTCTTAAGAGGATTAGCTGCATCCATTAAAAATTCAATATTGTACTGTACTTCTATAATGACCACAAAATCATTTCTTCGTTGATACATATTACAGATTTTTTTTAACTTTGTCGAGATGTAATATCAATATGATGAATTCAGTGTTTGGAGAATTTTAACTTTTTCTTTGAATGTTATGCACGTTTTCTTTTTACTACTGCAGTCAATACCATAACTTTTATGTTTGCTGTAAGACATTTTAATGGCAGTATACATATTACTGGCTTTTTGATGTGGATTACTGTACAGTGGTCAAAGTGGCACAGAAAAAACTTTGTCACAAAATTGAAGATAATTTAGGTACTAGGTAAGAATATATGTCATAAAACTGTTGCTTGACTTAAGTTCTAATCTAAGAGAAGAAACAGACAGAATAGAACAAACACTTTGTCAGTTACAACAGGTGGTAATACAGTAAGCCCTTTTTATCCTCTTCGCCACTCATGAGCTCATTAGTGGCTTGGGCGGTCGGTCACTTAAAATTGTCCCAATCAACATGGTTTTAGTTTTAAGTCAATAAATTACGGACAATATTTCATTACATTGCCAATTTTCACTAAACAATTTCGGGCAGTTAAGAAGTACAGTAACTACTTTTTAATGTGTAGATCACTGTCTCGTGTGGTGTGTCGAGCACCTTTAAACATTGCATCATCATAACTTTATATCACAGTACTTTACTTTACTTTTATCCTCTTCGCCACTGATTGGCTTGTTAGCCGCTTGGGCAATCAGTCACGTCTCTGTCACACACTGTTGGCAAATACTTTACTGTATAGTAAAGTATCTGTCAATCAAAAAGTTTGGGACCCAGAGGCTTCTGTAAAATGAATAGTTATGTGAAGTGGATACTATCATGAATAATGTGTCCCAGGAAAGCGTGTAACCACAGTACTGTTCTTATATAAGTTTTGTTTTACTATATTATCTTTTCTTTTCTTTTTTGTTTGTTTCTGAAAATGACTGTGCACTGACTTACTTCATTATTCTCCAACAGTCTCAGTGTTATTAAATCTACAGCAAGCTTTCAGTGTGTCATCATGCTCCTACAATTACCTTTTTACAATGTAGAATAACTTACTTTTCAAATTCACAAGAAGACAAATAGACTCATCATTCACACCACTACAGTACACAAAGTCACTGAGCCAGTTGCTTCGTTGTCCAATTTCTCCTCACTTACTCTCGCATAATACTGTTCGTGTAAAGAAAAAGTATTCTGTATTCTTAAATTTCAATATTCGTAATGCTAAAATTTTTCATGAAATAGATAATTTTGTAAAGTAGATTTTCGGTTGACAGATGCGGTACTTTACTGCATTTATAGTACGTATTTGATTCTTTGTGCATTAATCCTTTGTGCATCATGAGTCAAAAGAGTTCAGCCAGAAAACAAGGAAAACTAATACAATAGATAATAAATTACTAGTAGGTGTAGAAAGGTAGTTTGATACTGGAAGAATGCTTGGCTTGTCACCTATGACTGTGCATACTGTTTGGACTAATGCTAATAAAATATACATGGATTACAACATGGCATAATAGGACTACCCAAACTATATCCCAGAAATACCTCAACATTAAATGAGGACACTGTATATCCCTAATACTTGTATGAAAAAAAAAAAAACCAGAAGGCTATATGAGGGTAATATAACTTAGGCTGATCATAAATACAATATAAATAAATTGTTGGATGAAAACCCTTACAGGCAGTCTGGCTGAAACATACGGTACTGTATACCAATCTGGAATAACCAAAATCTGAGGTTGTATATCAGAAACCACACAAGATGATGGCTGTCAACTTTGATGTCTTACTGTGGATTTGATTTACAAATTATATACAGTACTACTACTACATTACTCACATTACAGTGATTCCGACATAGCAATATCATGCTCTGATGTTATCTGGTAATACAATATTGTACTGCTATAAAACTGAGGTGCTATGAATAATTTATAATCAGTAACAAGGCAGCAGGAAGAAATCTACAAAGACTATGTTCTTTAAATGGGACTGACATATTGGTAATCATATGTTGAGGATTTTCACAATACAGTACATGTACAGTAGTACAGGTATATGTACTGTTCTTGGAAATTTTGTTGAAAGGAAAATTCCATCTTCAATGCATGATTCTAATTAAACATGTTTTGATAGATAACATAACTATATTTACAAGTTTAATAATGTAACAAGCAATTTTCTTCTAAAACTTAAATTCATTGAAAACACAAATTATCAACATTGACACAAAACATAATATTTCTCAACATATTCTTGCACTGACAGGTTTGTGCAGAAGCAAAATAACAAGAGGAATTATGCTTAGCAACACATGTACAGATATAAATTAAGTTTTAACCAAAACTACAGTACCCTGTACAGTATAGTACAGAACTGTACTGTACTGTACAGTACTAACAGTTGGCCCTATTGACATAATGCCACAAACTATGTACAGTATTTATCACAGAATATTAACACAAAAAATTAAATGTGCTTCAAACCAGATTACAAACCAACTTTAGGTCACCGTGTCAACCATAACAAAAGACATCGTGTCAACCATAACAAAAGACAATCTTAATGGAGTAGTCACAAGACTGGGAAGCCATCATTTACAGAAACAAAGTCTAGCAGCAGTTCACTCGAACTTTACACGTCACAATCACTCATCAGATTTTTGGCAGAAAGGAAGCTTCAATACTCACTCGCCTCCAAGTTCTATAAGAATATTATATATATATTTTTACAGTATCAAAATACTTTTGCAATTTGTCACTTTATTATAATTTTCTTTAAGAAGTACTGTATTCTTTATTTAGGGAATACTGTACTGTACTAACCTTACACATGAAAAGTTCACAACAGATATAAAACAATTTACCTCACTAACAACTGTAAATTTCTTACAACTGCCAAAAATTAGTAAGTCCAGTAACATAAATAGTTGTTACTGTACTGTATGTACTTTTCAATGTTACATCTGAGGCTAAGTCTTTGTTAACTCATACTGTTTGAGCTTATCTTGCCATGTATGTAGATAACACTGAGTGTCTCTGTTCCAAAACTCTTCCAAATGATTGTAAACTTTTGGTGCTGGATCATTATAATTAAGTGCTTCACAGATGCGGCAATAGTGGAACACTTCAGAGGCAAAGTATCCATGTTCATTTAATACCTTATACTTAGAGCGCCAAGCATGAAACTTGTTGTATTCGAGTGGTTGGGAAGCCAGGTGCCTGTCAATACAAAAATATTATACAGTACTATATTAATTTATAGGTAATGTAAGTATTCTGCAAAGAAAAATAAGTGCATTACATATGATACGGTACAAGTACAGTATATACTCCGAGGTCACAGGCTGCTACACATTCTGGTAGGCATGTTCAATAAAAAAACATTGACTGTACAAACAATGTAATTACAGTATATACCTTCTTGATGAGTATTAATTTACTGTACAAGTATAGAAAGGCTGCTACTGGACAGCCATTTGCATCCTAACATATAGACTGTACTATATTACTGTAGTAGGAAGATTTAAGTGTGTTCAGTGCATTTTACTCACGTCAGGTACTTGGCAAGATGTTCAGGTGTTTGGAAATCATTGATGTGTATAAATGATTCAGGTGGCAGCAGCTTCTTATAGTCTTCAACTTTTGCACCCATCACCACAGGAATAGCTCCCTTACCTAAGGCATTCCACCAAACCTAGAAAAATATCATACATTTCATACACGCTGTGGAGGAGAGAGAATGAATACTGTACGTGTGCAGTTCACTCAATAGTAGTCCATATACCCAAGGCCCCTCTGTTCTATACCTGTACTACTGTGCAGTACATTATAATAACTTTGTTAGGTGCCAATACTGTTCAATACTGTACTTTAATAATTTTAATATAGTACAGCCTGTATAAGATCCTAAACTAAAGTGCTACTCTATGGTTCTACAGTACAGTACAGTATCTAGTATATGTATATGGAGACCACTGTATTTTCATACAGAAGCTTATGTGAAATGACATATTTAGAGTAAACTACAGTAAACCCTCCCAATACAGTGGCTGACCCAGGAGGGGTTTGGCAAGATTTTTATTTTATCTATTTATCTAATCTTTCTTTAACTGGAAGAAATGCACAGAATTTATTTACTAATGCCCTAATATACTGCTGTCCAATTATTGACATCACTGCTTTTTATCTGCCCATCCCACTCACTTATAGAGCATCCTTCTATCTACTTCTTGGTCTTTCCCTCTCCCCCCAACTATACACCGATGTAATTTGCTGTTTGCTATTGTAGATTTGAAGAACAAGAAGAAAAAGTACAGTACTGAAATACTTTATATAATTCTTTTATCCTATGTATCCAGTACACGAGTATACTGTACAGTATTCAGAAGAGCAGCTCTTACATACAAATACGTCTAGTAGTGTATGTGATTTTCAAAAGCAATTCAAAGAAATGAGTCCACCTCTAAACTCTCATTTAAAGCCAAAATATTATTCTTCTGTCAAGATCTCACAAGGGAAGCTTGTTAAATTTAGTACATTAGATTATGCTTCAAATAACTTTGCTTTACTTTATTAGCAAACTGATATATGTACAGTACTGTAGAAGGAAATCATCTTCACTTACCTTCTCAGTTATGTATTGCTGGCAGTCCCCGTTTTCAAATGCCAAATAAAACTTGTATTCCTTCAGAACTTCACAGTCTTTTCTAAAATGTCCAGGGCACTTGAGTGTTCCACATCCTCCGTAAGTATCAACTTCCATGTACTTCATCAGTTCTCTCACATACTGCCATCTTTTGTTATTTCCTCCACAGTTTGATCCTAACGCTGCCACAGTTTTTGAATGAAGTTTAAAATAGTCAACATACTGGAAATTTGCTACCTCCTCCGGGGTCATCTTAATAGTTCTACCATAGGGTACTGGAATATCACTGTCCATCCGATAATTCATCGACCAGTTGAAATAACCATTATAGTCTACCATTTTCTTAGTTTTAGCCATCATGAAGGTGTGGTGTGGACTCTCATCGGTCAACCAAATCCATCTTTGGCTTAATTTAGTGCGGTTGGGGAAGGTGTGAGGCCCTTTAGTGCGATGGAGGTGGATCATAATGGCATCTGCTGTCTTTGCTGCCTCATCTTCATAAGTCAGTTTACAATTGTTTACAGAACATTTACGAAATGGGTCTTTATTTATTGTTCCATACTCTCTGAGTAAGCGCCTTTCAATACTAGGGCCAGATTTCCAAACTAAAATCGTAAAGTTCCTATTTTTCACTGTACCAATCTTCTCATTTAAATATTGTCTTCTTCCCAGCACAGATAAACTCTTTATTTCATGTTCAGAAAGATTTCTCCAGTTGTGTTCTCTGGCCCAGGAGTTTCTATCATTGTCTACTTCACTATGATGTCCTTGTTGTGATGGATCATTTGCACCCTTAGCATTTACCTCAGGTTCAACTGAATTCACCTCATTTGCAGCATCAACATCCATTAAATGACCTATTTTACCCTCTCTTTCACTACCCTCCAGATCTATTACTTCCCTTGCAGAGTTCTCCTCCTCGTGTACACCAAAACTAAGTTCCTTCTTGACAACTGGTGCAGGTGGTGTCTGCTGTTCACCTACAGATAAAAGTTTGGGAAGGATACCTTTTGAATGGCCAGACAAATTCAGATCTTGACCCGGTAATAATTCTACCTCTGAGGACTCGAACTGTCTGGCAATCAAGGGAATGTGATGAAGATGATCGTGTAGTATATTCCTCTTGTGGTTGGATGACATGAAGACGTTTACAGCAACTATGGCACACACGGCAAGCAAGACCATCCAGTGGACTCGCATTACCCGCAGCACCCTCCACGCCCTCATCGTAGCACCACGGAACACAACCCTAAATGAATAAGGAAATACTGTAAATCTGATAATCTTATAAACATGAATATTATACATTACATAATAATCAACATGAAGAAAATACAATGCTCCTGTATGTATAACTGCATTAATTATAACTGATTGAGTGAGCTCAAGAATTAATATAATTTTATTAACTGGAGAACAACAGCACAGCATAGGTACATATAAAATTAATGGAAGAGAGATATTTAAAAGAAAACAGTGCATTTAGACAACTGAGGATCAAAGTACAGTATTGTACTGTACATCATCTTGTACACGACAAAAGTGAAGGTGCCCAGATTATACATTTATGATAGTTCTATTTCCTTCAATGTTGTTAAGACATTCCAAGATTCTTCTACAGGGTACATTTCTCCACATAAATGTTTGCGGATGACGCCAAGTTATTTCGGGAAATTAAGAACCAAGCAGACTGTGAAGAGCTGCAGAAAGCTCTCTGTAAGCTTCAAGAATGGGTGAAGAAATGGCTGCTAAGATTCAATGTTACGAAGTGTAAGAGGATGCATCTGGGACGAACGTACCAATGGTAAGGAGGCACATCGTATGTCACAATGGGATGAAGAAACTGCATTAATAGAGACTGAATCCGAAAAGGACCGGGGTGTTTATGTTGACAATGAACTGAAGTTCTCGGACCATTGTTAGAAGAAGGTGAATCGGGCAACTAATTTATTAGGTCTTATAAGGTCGTTCACATATCTTGACGGTCCATCCCTCATAATGATCTTCAAGAGTGAGGTGCTTCCCCGCTTGGAGTACTGTCACCCCGCCTGGTCCCCGAGATATGCTAGGGACTGTCTGTTGATTTAAAATGTCCAAAGGAGGGCCACCAGATTGGTGCCTGCACTTTGGCACTTCAGCTATCTAGAGAGATTAGAACGCCTGCAACTGCCTAGTTTATACTACAGACGGGCAAGGGGGGACCTACTTGAGGTGTATAAACATCTCAAAGAGCATTATGTACTCAGTCGAGTGTCCATACCTGGAGCTGGCGGACACTCACCCCACAAGGGGTCACAGCTCAAGGTTGAAGAAGCTGCAAGTCCAGAAAACTGTAAGGGAGAACTTTTTCTGAGTGAGATTTGTGAACTCTTGGAACAATCTGCCAGAGTGTTGTGACGGCACCGAGTGTGAGCTGTTTCAAGACCAGACTTGACCAGCACTGGAGCAGGTTCAGATACATTCAGGAGCCAGTTCATGCCCAGTACTTGCCAACAGTGCGTAACGGAGATGTAACCGACCGCCCAAGTGGCGAATAGGATAAAAGTTAAAAAGTAAAAGTATAAATAATATTTTACTCTGTAAGTTCAATATTATTCCATGTACAGTGTTGTAATTAACTACTGAACATGTGTGTATATGGTAAATCACCGAACTCTAAAAATAGTGCAGTATCTCTATACAGAGGTACTCCTCGATTTACGACCTACTCAACTTACGACCACCCGGACATACGACCGCCGCAGTCGTACCAAAATATTTTCAAATTACTGTACGTATTTTCGAGTCCCGACATTAGTGATTGCGCTGTGTACCGACAAAATTTTCGTTTGTAATTCCCTTTAAAATGGCTGGCAAGCTTAAAAGTGAGAGTTTTGTGGTACTGAGAAGAAAAAGAGACACCCATTTTAGATTTTAGATGTATTATTTTTGCATTTTCGACTTACGACCTGGATTTGGGTCCCTAACCCCGTCGTAAGTCGGGGACTGCCTATTGTATAACTACTGTTACAGCGTCAGGTATGTCATTTATGAAGCAAACAAGCAGCAGCGGGCCCTGTAGTACCCCGCTTGTCACAGGTACACATGACAATTTCATACCATTGATCACCACAAACTACTTGCAATCATGCAGTCTTTGATCAATGCTAGAACACTTCCCAGAATCCCATACCCTTACAGTTCAATTTTCAGTCTCATGAGGTATGCTGTCAAAAGCCTTGGTAAAATTTAGGTATATATTGTCGATATTGCCACCCTGTTCCAGAATTTGGGTCCAAACATCCAGTACCTTGAGTAATTGTGTTTAGCAGGAACGTCCCGTCATAAAACCATGTTGAGTTTCCTTTACAATGTTGTTTCGTAGTAGGTGTTCCATCAAGGCATCTCTTATAATGCTCTAGTGCTTTACACTATCCTCGTCAGGCTCACTGGTCTATAAGTATTCGTGGAGTGGCGATCGCCCTTCTTGAAAATAGGACTCGCATAAGCCACTATCCAATTACTGGGGACCTTTTGCCCATCCAGGCATTTACTGAATAGGATCTTCAGGTGATCAACAAGCTTGTTGCACAACTCTCTTAGCACTCTGGGACTCTCATGAACCTTTAGCTTTGACAATTTATTTCTTGTAACCTCTTTTGAGATACAGCATAACCAAATTGGGGTGACTTATCAAATAAAGAATGAATACTGTACTATAGACCTAACAAGGAGACCCATATACAGTAATTCATCAAGCCTACAGGTTTCAACCTGGGATCCAACCTTCAACACTGATAGCTTACACTAAAGTGCAAAAGGGAAACTGAAGTGAGTTTCCCTGAGGGGTGGCAGGTGAATACATTTCAGTGTTGCAGCACCATACATGAGCAGACCTTTTCTTGTCCTTTGTCAGCTACCTAAAATTTCAGTAACAAGCATCAGTACTCTTGTATTCCACAATTCAATCCTAAGGGAGGTAGTGATCAGGATTCTCATTGTAAGAAGGTGAATCAAGCAACTAGCTAGTGAGTCTTTTAAGAAGGGCGTTCAGATACCTAGATGGTCTGTCCTCCATAATGCTCTTCAAAAGTGAGGTGCTTCCCCGTTTGGAGTATTGTCAACCCGTCTGGTCCCCGAGATATGTTAGAGACTATCAGATGATTGCAAACGTTCAAGTGAGGGGCACCAGACTGGTGCCTACACTACAGCACCTCAGGTACCCAGAGAGAAGAAAGAGCCTGCAATTGCCTAGCTTATATACTATCGGCAGGCAAAGAGTGACTTAAAATAAGTTGGTAAACATCTCAGAGCACATTACTCAGTTGAGTGTTTATACCTGGAACTGCCGCCCCACTAAGGGTCACAACTTAAGGTTGAAGAAGACACAATTTCAGAAAACTGTGAGGGCAAACTTTTTTGGAGTGATGGGTCGTGAACTCTTGGAACAATCTGCCAAAGAGCGTTGTGACAGCAGTGCCGAGTGTGAGCTCATTGAAGACCAGACTTGACCAACACTGGAGCAGGTACAGATACATTCTGGAACCATTACATGCCCAGTACTTGCTAGCAGTATACAGCAGAGACGTGACCAGCCAGTGGTTGGCTCTCTAACCAATCAGGCGATTGGTTAATTCTCTTTTATGCACTGATGGCAAGTACTGGGTATGCACTGGCTCTAAAGTGTACCTAAACATGTGCCAGTGTTGGTCAAGCCTGGTTTCAAAAGTGCTCACACTCAGTGCTGTCACAACATTCTCTGCCAGGCTATTCAAAGAGTTCACGACTCTTACTCCAAAGAAGTTAACTCTAAAAGAAATTGTACATGTGGGATCGTTAACCTAAGGCTGTGACCTTTAGTGGGACAGGCATTCACTAGTTCAAGATATGAATACTAACTAAGTAATGCCCTTTGAAGTGCTAATAAACTTCTATTGAATCACCCCTCACTCATATGTACATCGTAAACTAATTAACTGAAGATGTTCTAATATCTCTTGGTTTGTAATGCACTCGTATGCAGGCACAAATTTGGTGGCCCTTTTTGGATCTTTTCAATCAACTGGCTGTCTTCTGCATATCTCAGGGACCTGAATGTCAGTACAGTATTCCAAGTGGGGAAGCACCACACTTTTTGAGGGACAGGCCATCTAGGTATGTACTGTATGCGATCTTTGTATTTCCTTGATTTATCATCTTCTCACACTAGTCCAAGAGCTATAGTTTGTTGTCACCATACACACCCTGATCTTTTTTTTTCATATTTGATTTCGTTTCATGGTGTTTCTTCATCATGCTGGGACACGTGATAAAGCCTCCTTGCTCTTGGTACGACCTAGATGCATCCTTCTGCATTTCGTGATGTTCAATCGTATCAGCTAATTCTTGACCAAACCTGAAGCCGCCAGAGATTTTCCTGTAATGCTTCCCAGTCTGTTTGGTCCTTAATTTCCCTCAGCAATATTTATATACAGGAGTGTATAGCATCTGACATCTGTGTGTGGGTGTGTGGTCAATGAACCAAGTGTTAACATAGGGAGCTCGGTACATAACATTTTTTTATGTATTCTGTACAAGTGTGTGTGTGAGGGGCAGGGGTGCGGTGAACCCCTTTTGAACACGAGGGGGATATAACTCTTATGGCCTTGTGTACGTACAGGTGAGGTTACACGTGTCACTTACATCGTTTCCTGACCTGACTGACTGGATGTTTTTTCTTAAGTGAGGAATGTTTTGGGGGTATGTTTAATTAACATATATTACCGGTTTTCTGGTCGGATTCGTGATTTTTTTGCGGTGGATGTTATTGTCAATTACAGCTTAGTGTAGCCAAAGACAACTTCAAGGTCGCCTTTACTTAGTACGAGAGGAACATGAAAACCCGCGGCTTAGGGTAGCTTTTACACACACAGTTTACACAGTGTTTTTAGTTCGCCTTCACCAACCAGTAGTCACCCCAGATGTAATGATAAACCACGTTGAGTTTAATGTTCTGTTGTTCTTGTTGGTGTACATAATAGATTATTTCTGTCGTGAGTCAAAGGAAAATAGAGCTTTTGTGCAGTATCCTGTTGTGGATGTTGATGATTTTATGATTAAATGTCTAAATTAACCTAAAAGTGAAATGCAGCGTCTTCGGAAAACACCTGTTAGGCGGTGACGCTGTTAATGATGTTAAATACACTAACAATACGCTGTGGTATTATAACCTTTATGACACACACACACACTAAACCACCTTAACACTTACATCTTGGGAGTCGGTCACAGAGGAGACAGTCTTACATTACCTCCACCTGCAGAAAAGGAGTACAAAGTAAAGTGCTGTACCACCACCGTGACACATCGCACTCAAAGGAATTACCCTAAGTCAATGTAAACGGTGAGATGATAACAGTAGAGAGATATTTCGTAAAACCATTAAATAAATAAGCCTGAAGAATTTAAATGTTATCATACTGAAGGGGTTAACGAACTTTTATATTCCCCAAAGATAAATGTTGTTGGCAAAGGATTCTAACACAACGAAAATACTTCACTATTCTAATATCAGAACGTACTTTTACGGTGCAGTTGCGGGTCGTTCACACACACACACGTTCTACTATATGTTCCCCACCGCAACAAGAACCCCCTCATTAATTAATCATACTATTGTAACATGTGTGTGGTATACTGTACTAGCCACGACACACACCCCAGCAGCTGTACATTCATTCCCATATATTACAGGTCCACGTTCTCATCAGTTATTTTATAAACTATAGAACAAAAAACATAGGTTAGGTTGACTATATTAGGTTAGGACAGGCTAGGGTAGGTTATGTTACGATAGGTAAGATTAGATTAGATCAGGTTAGCATTAAGATGTTTTAAAGAACTGGAACGAAGATTGGGGATTGCTTGAATGGGGGGGGGGAGGGGGGGATGACACGTATATTTGGTCGATAATTTCAATCCGTTCAAACACCTGTATGATATAGTGGCTTGTCGCGGTGAACACATGTTGCCCATTGGTCTCACTACCGGTAAAGAAAAATCATACATCTATCCAATGTCGATTTTTGTTTAATGTCTTTTTTCAGCGTAACCGTGCGGGTAAGTCGTATCAGTGTTGTGTGTTTTAATAGTTAATTTTATCCTTTCGCCACTGATTGGTTCGTTAGCTGCTTGGGTGGTAACACGTCTCCGTTGCGTACCGTTGGCAAGTACTGGGCATGAACTGGCTCCTGAATATATCGGAACCTGCTCCAGTGTTAGTCAAGTCAAGCCTTGAATGCAGGGGCGGTTCAAGGAAGGTTTTCTGAGGGTCCCGAACCCTCTTTTCATCAGAAAATTTAAATAATTTTCTTTAATGTAGTATGGTACTTATGCGCTTTTGTATAGTAAGATGTGATTACTATTGACCTCAGAATATCTCCTAATGTCAAGTGCACATGGCTTCAAAATGGCCTCAAAATACCCATGATATTGGTCAGCCTCCAAAAAAAATCTGGGGGAGCCCTTACAGCTCCAGCTGGGTGGGCTCGCTTTTGATATTCCTGGATCCGCCCCTGGAATGAGCTCACACTCGGTGCCATCACAACACACACTGGCAGATTGTTTCAGGAGTTCACAATTCTCACTCAGAAAAAGTTTGACCTCACTTTTTTTTATTATTGTTTATTGGGCACTCCCCTACATCCTCGTGTAAGGTGAAGCGCAGAAGCGTTTACAGAGCCCAACAGGGAAGCATGCCAAGTTCATGCTTGCCTTTATGTCTCATGAGTAAAGGGCGTAGAAGCCTGAAGAGTCAAGGGCGTGGAAGCGTTCTTGACTTGTGGCTTCTTCAACCTTGAACTGTGAGTCTGTGACCCCTTGTGGGGCAAGCGTTAGCCAGCTCCAGGTTTGTGCATTCGACCGAGTATGCCCTTTTGAGATGTTTATACACTTCGATTAGGTAATACTACTGAGGACTCTGACAAATTTAATAGCATCTATGTTGTCTCCTTTGAGCTAAATTTCCTTTGTTGGTTATTTGTATTTCAACCTAATCGCTATAATGTTCCAGTATAGGAGATGTGGCAGGCGCATCAATCAATGACGTCACAGCCCCGTCCACCAATAAAAACTTTGCTTGGTGGGTTCTGTCTACTATTGAACCGAACGCACACAACCAACCGCCGACATTTCTTTCGTCTTTACCTTTTACACTCGGTTTTATCACAGACACACAGACACACACGGATGTTATGAAAAAACACAATGAGACCGCAGAGAGTTCCAAACAAGTGTTAGCGAGGAATAACGGTTAGCGGTTGTAACAATGCATGGCAGGAAATTCTAGTGTTAGGCCATATATAAAACAATAACTTTCTTCCCTTACTGGAAATAAAACCCAGAATGTGTTGTATCGTCTGACCTTATGTTGTAAAAACATAAAATAAAATTTCACAATCTTCCCTTGAGTACGATACCAACCCTCCACTGAGTACGATGAATAAGCCCCTTGAGTACGATACCAACCCTCCCCTGAGTACAATGAATAAGCCCCTTGAGTACGATACCAACCCTCCCCTGAGTACAATGAATAAGACCTCTGAGTATGATACCAACCCTTCCCTGAATACAACAAATTAGCCCAGTGAAAAAGAACTCTTACCACTTGAGTACGATTACTTTATCCCTTGAGTATAGTATTTGAACTTGTTGAATACATGATCTATTCTACGGAGTAAATTACGCTTAAATACGGGTCAGTCATCGCGCACACACACAGCTTCCTGACTAGATTAGCGAAGTAATTATTTTCCTATACTGTGTTATTCATCTCTCATTTCTAATTGCGTTTAGTTAATGAGTGTTAACGCTATCACCTGAAGATTAACCACCCTCTAGCTTATTTCACCCGAAGATTAGCCAGCTCCTAGCTCAGGGGTTCTTACCGGGGGTGCGAGGCTGCTGTTATCACACGTGGCTCATCTTAGGGGAGTGGCGTAAAAATATGAGCATAAAATTCCTGTTTTGTTAAGAATTTGCCATTATTACTAATTTTAAATGTACTATATTGTATATATATTGCTCAGTGTTTGTATTAATGTACAGATAATGTGTATTGTTTGAGTATAGATGTCAGCTAGATATGACGCAAGTTATTGGAATAGTTCAGTCCTAAAAAAATCTTTACAATTCTCTTTCATCATTACATTATCTTTTTGTTGCCAATTTTTCTTACCTTTTATAAAATTACTGTGAATTGTGTGTGAGAGAGAGAGAGAGAGAGAGAGAGATTTACTGCCAAACGTCCTAAGGTGCATTTTGATTATTTGAAAAGCGGTAAGAAGGCAAGTGAGGTTAGGTGTGTGAGCACTACTACTACTTTATGGTGATGCCTATACAGTACTTGTTTGGTGTTGTGTATAAGGACGTGACGTCACTGATTGTAACTGTGTAATCATAGGGCCGTATTCCTAGTCATTACGACGATAATGACGATCACGATCATCATCTCGATGATCGTGTGTCGGGATGCAACCACCCAACGCTGAGTGCCATATTCCTAGACCCTTACATGAGCGTGTCAACACGGCAGCTCGTGTCGGATGGCAAAATTTTTTTTGGCCATGCGCGTGTGCCAAATGTATTATTTCACATAATTAGAAAGACGATTTTGAGAGATATTTAGTTGTTATTTTATACCGGCACAATAATATATTGTAAAATATATTTTTTTATAAAATTGAACTTTATTATCTGTTCGAAACAAAATAGATAATTTTTTCATCTGAGTACTTGGCAACAATGTTTGCGCGCGGGTTATCAAACATGGAGGTAGTAAGAGAACGTTCTGCAGCTCTGTCTGAAACCCAACGCATGGCACTTTTGCGCCATATTGAGCAAAGGCCAATCATTGAGGATAGGTCTACAAGCAACACCATAAATTATAGGAAAAGAAAGGCCTGGGATGAAATTACTGCTTCATTCAACGCCAGCTATGATCCACTTGTTTTACCTGGTCCAACCCCAGGGCCATCATCTGTGTCTTCTGCACAATTTACTGAAGTTCCATCTACTGTTTATCGACCTCTATTTTCACCCTCTGTTCCTGTCTCACAAGTCATTGTTCCTGCCTCACCAGTCATTGCTCCTGCCTCACCAAACATTGCTCCTGCCTCACCAAACATTGCTCCTGCCTCGGCAGTCAATGCCCCTGACTCACTATCGAGTGATATTGCCTCACCCCCTCCTGCTCATGCTTCCAACCAACACCTTTATTCAGTGTCCAGGGCATCTGGTTCTCGGCCAAGGAGCAAACCAAGGCGAACTAGGAGGGTGACAAGTGTCTATGAAATGTGTGATAAAAGACAAGAAGAGTTACATAAATCTAAGTTGTACAGATTGAATAGGGAGCATGAGGAGGAAATGAAACTGAAAAAAGAAATGATGTTAACACAAAAACTACAACAAACTGCAATTGAAAAGACACATGAAAAATTGAATAATTCTTTGGATTTGTTAGATAGTGTTTTAAGGAAAGCAGGAGCTGCATATGATGCCATGGCTAAAACATATGAATGATGTTGTAATATTTCAGAAATTGGCATCTAAAGTAAAAGTTATTCGTTCTATTTCTTACATATTCAACTAATTTTATTTGAAGGAAATAAACATACATGTGTTTATTTTGACAAAGGTTTTTTTGTTTACAAAAGCTGTCATAAGTATGGCAGGTAATTATTTGTGGGGGATGAATATTTATAATATACATAAAGGCTGTGATTTTCAAAAATTGAATTTATTTCCTGTGATAAAGAATAAAGTTTTGTTTGGTGTATACAGGTATTTATAAAATATGTTATACTGTGCAAAGTACTGTATAGAGGATATGTTTCTTTTATTAAATTTTATGCATTGATATAAATAGCTGTAGAGAAGGAGTGAACCATTTCTTTTTGTGCCCAAGATAGAAATATTTTCATGTCAGTTACAAATATTGTCCAAAGTATGGCAGTTAAGATTTATTTTTATATATCTATAATATAAGCTGTGAATTTCAGGAAATGCAGAACTATGTATAGAAAAATTATAGTTTATTTTCTTAATTTTTACACATTTATTAAAAAAATAAATGTATATTTCTTTCCTTTTGTTGTCTTCATAAAACCTCACAGGTGAATTACCTTACATATTGAGTTATGCTCCATTATTAAAGACCACAGTGAAGTAAAAAAAACTATATTACTGGGCCAAAAACTGTGATATTTTCCTTGCTAACTCAAGATAGAGTGAGCTCACTTGGCTTGCCTCATTCCGGAAA